TGAAGCAATAATTTTTACATTTTCCTGCCTGTAGTTTATTTTTTCTTCTCTTTTTGGCCTTATCATGTATTGCTTATTTACTTCCTCAACAATGTTCTTTGACTTGCTATAATTACCATTATCATCATCATCATATTCACTCCCATCTCAGAGGGAATCTTTGCTATTCCCTCTCTCTGACCTAGATATCCACATGGCTTTTTCCTTCAGCTCATTCAGATCACTTTTTATAGGGCATCTTTATAAGGAGACCTTTCTTAGACACCTTTCTGAGATTGCAACCCAAACCCCTACCCTACACTAAGGATCTTGCTTCTCTGTTTTCACTTTTCTCCTTAGTGCTTATCACTCTCTGTGGTTGCTAGCCTCCAAGATGGCCCAAGAGATTCTCACCTCCTGGTATTCATACTCTGCATAGCTCACCCCCACACCAATTAGGGCTGACCTGTATAACCAAGAGGATATTGTGGAAATAACCAAGTGTGAGTCCCAAAGCTGGATTATAAAAGACATTGCACTCCTACCTTGTTCTCATTTGAATCACTTGACCCTTGAGCAACCCAGTGGATAAGTCATGTAGTGAGGAACTGAGGCTTCCTACCCACAGGCAACACCAACTCACCGTCTGTATGAGTGAGCCTTTATGGAGGCTGTGGCCCTGGCCAACATCTTGACTACGACTTCATGAGACACCCCAGGCCAGAATCACCCAGCGAAGCAGCTGCTTCCGAATTCCTGACCCAGACAAACTGGGTAAAATAATAAAGCTTTTTAGTTGATTTAAGCTGCTAATTTGCTACTTGGCAATAGATTGGCTAATAACCCACCTAAATAGAAAACACCTTCTCCTGGCCGGATAGCTCAGTTGATTAGAGAGACGTCCTGATACACCAAGGTTGCAGGTTCTATCCCTGGTTCAGGGCATATACAAGAAAACCAATGAATGCATAAAAATGGAACAACAAAATCAGTCTCTCTCTCTCTCTCTCTCTCTCTCTCTCTCTCTCTCTCTCTCTCTGTCTCTCTGTCTCTCTCCCCCTCTCCCTCTCTCTAAAATCAATAAAATAAATTTTTGTAAAGTTTAATTTCTATTTATCAATTGAAATAATATAAAACACCTCCTACATATTATTTTATTTACTTACTCTGTGTATCTGCCTCAACTAGAATATGAGCTCTGGGATAGCAGGAATTTTTTCCTTTCTGTTCACTGTGGAATCTGTAGCCTCTAGAGCAATTTTCTCAAAATAGCCTCCTGCGGTAAGTACTGGTATCATCCCCATTTTACAAATAAGGAACTTGGGGCACCGGAAGGTTGTTACATATAGCCAAGATCATGTAGTCAGAGCCAGACTTTTCTCCATAGCTTAATATGCTTAGTCAGAATGCTGCACTGCCCACTTCTCTGCATACTATCTCGTGTTATGTACAAGACACTATGATAGTTGGGGGGGTGGAGGGGAGTTAAATTTAAGACATGGTCTCTGTTGTCATGCAGTTCACAGTCCAATTGAGAAAATAGGATCAATATCAAATAACTGGCATACAGGATTTGATCAGTGCCATATGAGTGTGGGTGTAGGTCATCAAAAGATCCGAAGACAGAGAAACAGCGATCAGACTATCAATCCCCAGAGGGAAAGTAGGGGAGGGTGGGAGTAAGGAGAAGAGATCAACCAAAGGACTTGTATGCATGCATATAAGCCAAACCAATGGACACGGACAACAGGGGGATGAGAACACGAGTGGTGGTGGGGGCGGGGGGGTTGGGGGTTAATGGGGGGATGAGGACACATTTGTAATACCTTAAGCAATAAAGACATTTTTTAAAAAGTTATTTATTTATTAATTTTAGAGAGTATGAGGAAGGGGGAGAGAGAGAAATATCGATTTGTTGTTCCACTTATTCATGCATTCAGTGGTACATGCCCTTGACTGGAATCGAACCTGGGACCCTTTAGTCCGCAGGTCGAAGCTCTATCCACTGAGCCAAACCGGCTAGGGCAAAGTTACTTCTTAAATGACAATTAAGCTGCCATTCTAGAATTCTGTACAGTGGGGCCTTGACTTACGAGTTTAATTCGTTCCGTGACGGAGCTCGTAACTCAAATTACTCGTATGTCAAATCTTAAAGTGAACAAGTGAGACACGTGATGCTGGGCTGATGTTGTGGCGTTCACTGTGACGTTCGCTGCGCCAACTAGCGGTGGGGTATCTGAAGCTGGCTCGTAACCCGAATTTTAGCTTGCAACTCAAAGCAAAAAAGTGGCCGAGAGATGGCTCGTATCTCGAAAAACTCGTTAGTCGGGACACTTGTAAGTCAAGGCCCCACTGTATTTGCAAAAATATCCTTCACACATGAAGGTAGTATGGAGACACTTAGTAACACAGAAATGTAAGAAGGAATGAAGAACAACAGAGTAGGTAAATATGTGTTTACATCTAAAGGAACATTGACCATGCAAAATAGTAATAAAACAATAACACAAAGGAAGGGAGGTCCATGAAATTCAAATATTATAAGATCCTAGCATTGTCTAGGAAGTGGTAAAAGTACTAATTTAGTTTAGGTACCAATAAAATTTAGGTAAGGTGGCATGTTGTAATTTTCAGGGTTCCCACTACAGAAATAAAATTAAAGAAAATTTATTTAATAAGCTAAAAGAAAAATGGAACTTAAAAATATTTAGTAATCTAAAAAAAACACAAAAGGGGGAAAAGGAACATAAAACAAGTAGGACAAATAGAAAACAAATGGTAACATGGTATATATAAACACAAATGCATCAGTAATTACATTAAATATTAATTGAAATATTCTAATTACAAAACAAATATTATCAAACTGGAAATTTTTTTGAAACCTAATTGCTGCTTGTAAGAATTATAATCATTTTGCAAAAGTGTTGGCAGTATCTGCCAAAGCTAGACACAGAGATACCTCTATGACCCAGCATTCCACTTCTAGAAATATACCCATGAGAAAGCATTCCTATGTGCACCAAAAGATGCCCAATATGTTTATAGCAAGAGTACTTAATGGACACCAATTAGAAACTATCCAAATATCATCAGCAGAAGAATGAATAAATTCATACAATAGTATATGGCAACGGGAAAACTCAGGTCGCATACGTCAGGATGATTCTAAGTAGCCCATTGTACTAAGTAGGTTATTTTTTTTTTTAAATACATTTTATTGATTTTTTACAGAGAGGAAGGGAGAGAGATAGAGAGTTAGAAACATCGATGAGAGAGAATCATCGATCAGCTGCCTCCTGCACATCTCCTACTGGGGATATGCCCGCAACCCAGGTACATGCCCTTGACCGGAATCGAACCTGGGACCCTTCAGTCCGCAGACCGACGCTCTATCCACTGAGCCAAACCGGCTTCGGCCTAAGTAGGTTATTGATCCAGCTGCTATAACAGTGACCTGAATTAACAGTGGACTTAACCACACAGAAGTTTCTTTTCTTCCTTGTTATAACTTGAGTGTGATATGATGCCTCCACCTAGGATCCTTCCGTCTTCCGTCTTGTCGCTCTGTTATTCCTAGGCTGCTTCCATTGTTTACAGGATTAGAGATGGCTAACCATATTCAAGCCAGTGGGAAAGAGGACATATGGTCCAAGGAGCACACTTCTTCCTTAAAAAAAAAAATTTTTTTTAAATTGATTTCAGAGAGGAAGGGAGAGACAGAAAGAGAGAGAAACACCAATGATGAAAGAGAATCATTGACCTGCTGCCTCCTGCACGGACCCTACTGGGGATCGAGCCCGCAACCTGGGGATGTGACCTGACTGAGAATCGAACTTGTGGTTCATAGGTTGATGCTCAAACACTGAGCCACACTGGCTGGACACATTTTACACGTTTCACCTCTGCTCAGACCTTATTGTCCAGAAGTTTCTAGAAGACTGAGAAATAACCTAGCTTGGTGGTCATGTACTCTGTGCTGAGGTCTAGTACCAGAGACAACTCCTGGTCTCTGCCACATCCTGAGCTTAGTAAAATTGAAGTTGCTGAATTTAGACTCACATAGCTGATTGTTAAGTTCTGATCTTTGTAGTAGGGCATCCTTCTACTTGTTTGTCTTAAAATTATAATACATACCGAACTTAAAAATAAAACTATGTAAAATCTTAGTGCTTTTCCCTATATAGACCTGAGAGAATATGGAAGATTCATGCCTTATGCTCCTTTATTCACTGAAATTCAGTAAATACCTTGTATCCTTTGTCCATTCTGGCCGTTGAAACCGAACTCTTACAGGCAGGCCTACTTTTGCTTGTAATGCTAATAGTGAAGTTCTAGAACCAAGGCTTTAAACTGTACCCCTTTATAATGACCAACAAAAGAGATCAAGATGGAAACAAAGGAGATGTGCCTCTACCTCACAGCTGTAGAGGGAGAGAAACAGTTGTGTTTCCTAGAACCAGTTCTAAGAATCTGCTTTCATGAGGTGATAAATTCAGAACATTCAGAAGAACATCAATCTTGTTTTCCAGTGCAATATGAAAACTTGTCTGAATATTCATAATCCAGCAACTTGTTTTCTTCTCTGTTCTTGGAAGTATAATTTTAACAAAAAGATCTTGTAAAACTAAGACTTTTGGAATTGTTACTGCATGCTACAAAGGTGACCTTAAAAAGAGCTTGTAATTCTGATTGTCTTCCTTGATAGTTTGTTGCCTTGACAAGAATGCTATAATTTATGTCTGAATTCCTAAGCAACCCAAAGACTTAGAACTTTGCTCTGTGAAACCAGAAGAGATTCATTTGCTCAGCTCTCGTTGCCATCATTTTTAATAGAGAAAAATAAATTACTGTCACACTCGTCAATTTCTCATTTTAACAAAAACTGAAAGCCTTGTTGCTGAATTAACAAGGGCAATTGCCTTTCCTTTTTTCTGTGAAAATCTAATATTTTTATCTGTAGGAATTCATGAAATTCTTATTTTCAAGTTACTGAACAGTGTTTCTCTTTTTCCACATAGACTGTCCTTCATCCAACTGGGTTCAGTTCCAAGACAGTTGTTACATTTTTCTTCAAGAAACCATCAAAGTAGAAAGCATAGAGGATGTCAGAAATCAGTGTACTGACCATGGTAAGGAGTTTATTCTTTTTCTTTTGCCTTTCAGAAATCAGTAAATAGTGTTTACTAATTTCTTTTAAAACAACTGTTATATCTCCCTGGGTCCTTATAATAACCGTATTCTGCAATATACAAGCCACAGGCAGTGGAACTGGGTGGAAGACAGTTGTTGGTCATGTACTCTGTGCTACACAGCATATTGCTGCCCTAGCAGAGTGGAAGAACAGTAGCAACAGCAGGGTCTAAATAATGTGCCTGCGCTGTGCCAGGCACTGTGCTTAAGCACACCATATATTTTAATTGGCTTCAATTATTATAACAGACCTTCTTTTATCAAGAAGAAATTTAGTTCAGTTATTTGTTCAGGTCGCACAGGTCATAATTGGTAGAGCCAGGATTCAAACCAGGGTGTGTCTGACTTTAGGACCAGAGTTCTGGGTCATTCTTTTGTTCTGCCCTGAAAGTGCTATTTCAGGCATGTATGTGAGCAGAAATCAGGTGACAAGGAACCATGAAGTAAGACTGTGGTAAAGAAGTATACATTAGAGAAAAAGAAGAGAAAGGATATTTGCTAGAGGGTATTGTATGTTCAATATTCTCTGGGAAATATATTTGTAACTTCACATCGTGAAATATTTTATTTTATTATTTTTTTAAAAATATTTTTATTGATTTCAGAGAGGAAGGGAGAGAGAAAGAGAAACATCAATGATGCGAGAGAATCATTGATTGGCTGCCTCCTGCACATCCCCTACTAGGGATCGAGCCCACAACCCAGGCATGTGCCCTTGACCAGAATTGAACCTGGAACCTTTCAGTCCACAGGCTGATGCTCTATCCACTGAGCCAAAACAGCTAGGGCAGTGAAATACTTTAAATAAAAGTTATTTTTTTAAAAGGCCTAAAATAAATAAATAAATAAAAATAAAAAGGTCTACTTGTATGCTCTTTATATATTTGACTTTTTAGCTTAAAGTGCATCCTGTTGTTAGCCTGTAACTGGTGTGATCGTCATTGGCTCAAAATTAAACTCTGATGTGAACTTCTCGTCAAGATGGGGCCATAGGAAAAAGCAGCACTAGAATCCCCCACAACCATATCAAAATTACAGCTAAACTACAGAACAACCATCATTCAAAACTGCCTGAAATTTAGCTGAACAGAAGCCCTAGAACTAGGGGATTAACTAAGAAGCCACATCCAGACTGGTAGGAGGGGTGGAGATGCAGAACAGGGCTGGTCACACACCCACGAGTGGTGGATAAAAATCAGGAGGTTTATCTCAACTGCAGAGGTCGCCCCTGAGGACTAAGGGAGAACTTCAGCAGCACTAAAAAGCACATGGAAACCTTAAAAAAGAACCAGTCAGAAATGAAGGTTACACTAACTCAAGTGAAGAATAACTTACAGGGAATCAACAATAGAGTAGATGAAGCTGAGAATCAAACCAGCGATTTGGAATACAAGGGAGCAAAACCACCCAATCACAACAGCAAAGAGAAAAAAAAACCCCAAAATTAAGATAGTGTAAGGAGCCTCTGGGACAACTTCAAGAGTACCAAATTTGCATCATGGGGGTGCCAGAAGGAGAGGAGAGAGAGCAAGAAATTGAAAACCTATTTGAAAAAATAATGACATAAAAACTTCCCTAACCTAGTGAAAGAAATAGACATATAAGTCTAGGAAGCACAGAGCGTCCCTAACAATATGAGCCCAAAGAGGCCCACACAAAGATACATCATAATTAACATGCAAAAGGTTAAAGACAAAGAGAGAAGCTTAAAAGCAATAAGAGAAAAGCAGTTAGTTACCTACAAGGGAGCACCCATAAGACCTCCAGCTGATTTCTCAACAGAAACTTCACAGTCCAGAAGGGAGTGGCAAGAAATGTTCAAAGTGATTAAAAGCAAGAACCTACAACCAAGATTACCCAGCAAAGCTATCATTGAGAATCAAAAGACATATAATGAGCTTCTGAGATGAGAAAAAGCTAAAGGCGTTCATCACCACCAAAGCAGTATTACATGAAATGTTAAAGGGCCTTCTTTAAGAAGAAGAAGGGGATAAAAAGACCAAAATGGCAATAAATACATATCTATCACCAATTGAATCTAAAAAACAAAATAAATGAATAAGCAGAATAGAAACAGACTCATAGATACAGAGAACATTTTGATGGTTGCCAGATGGGAGGGAGGTTGGGGCATTGGTGAAAAAGTTGAAAGGATTAAGAAGTACAAATTGGTAGTTGCAGAACAGTCTTGAGGATGTAAAGTACAACATAGGAAATATAGCCAGTACTATTCTAATAACTATGTATAGTGGGTAGGAGATTTATTGGGATGATCACTTTGTAAGTTATACAATGTGTAATCACTGGGGTGTACACCTGAAACTAATATTGTATGTCAACTGTAATTGAAAAATAAAAAGCGGTTTAAAAAACTATGATGTTGTAAACTAGCATCTTTTTCAACTGATGTATCTATGATGGTGAGTTGAGTCATTGATTCTTTAAAGGTGCTTTTTATTATTGTTTAATATCTAGAGATCTGTAGATCTTTTCATGAAATTTTGACTTAGGCATATTAATCACTCTAGCATTCAGAAATGCCCTTTACCTAAAAGACGAAATTTCTGACAACACACCAGTATAACATTTGAAATACTATCAAATTGTATTAGGAATATTTTAGTTAAAATAAAAGTTATTTATCATAGAAGGAATATATGTAAGCATAGAAGTTTTTAATCCTAGTAAGAGCCACATACTACTTAATACATAGTTATTGTTTCCTTTTGAAAAACTGTTGCCTGCTAAATGGTGTCGAACATTGGCTCTTTGAAAAAAAGACCATTTCCAACATGTCAATTTGGTTTCATTTCAAGGAAACTGAATAATAGGAATTTTGCTGGTCTTACAAGATTTTAAAATGGAATTTCCCCTACAACTATTTTAAGAAAATCATTTATGCCCTGGCTGGTGTGCTCAGTAGTTAGAGCATCAGCTTGCACACCAAAGGGTTCCCCCCCCGCAAAAGGATTTTGATTCCCAGTGAAGGATACATACCTTGGTTGTGGGTTTGCACCCTACCCCAGCCGTGGCGGTGCAGGAGGTAAACATCTCTCACATCGATGTTTCTCTTCCTCTTTCTCTCTCTTTTTCTCTCTCTTTCTCTTTCCTCTCCCTCCCTCCTACTCTTTCTGAAAAGCAATGGAGAAAATACCTTCATGTGATGATTAACAAAACAAAAAAATAAGAAAGAAAACAATATTTTATTAAGTACTAGAGCAGTGGTTCTCAACCTTCCTAATGCCTCGACCCTTCAATACAGTTCCTCATGTTGTGGTGACCCCCAATTTCATTGTTACAAATTGAACATAATTAAAGCATAGTGATTAATCACAAAAACAATATAAATTATATATGTGTTTTCCGGTGGTCTTAGGTGACCCTTGTGAAAGGGTCTTTTGACCCCCAAAGGGGTCGTGACCTACAGGTTGAGAACCGCTGTACTAGAGGCTCAGTGCATGAAATTCATGCATGGGTAGGGTCCCTACCAGCTGCCAGCCAGGACCTCCCTTCCCTGGCTGCCAGCTGCTGGCTGGGGCCTTCCTTTGCTCCACGCCACCCCCTGGTGGTCAGCCCACGGCATAGTGAATGATCGAACTTCTGGTCAGTCGAATTCCCGAGGGGACACTTTGCATATTAGGCCTTTACATATATAGACACTTAGACATAAACCAGATTTCAGTTGCAGAAATTAATGATATTGGAGGCTGAGAGCCAAGCAAGGACAGGTTCCTATACTCTTATTAGCTTGTATGAACCACAAGGTGGACGTTCATTGTCCAGCTTTAATACTTACCTTACGCAGTTAAGCAACTGCTTACTCTACAGAGGCATACTTAATACTTGTGACTGACTTCCTCTACAACTCAACCGTGGTTAGCTGAATTTGCTGTTTTTCTTTCGGAAAGCAAAACAAAATAGAAAACACCCAGCAACTTTGTGGCTTGTTTCAAAGTCCATTAACTCCACTTGTTCAAGCTGGGAAGCCGCTTAGGAATTTCAAACTGTTGTAGGTAAATTTGCTTATACAATTTGTCTAGTGTCAAAAGGAAAATAATTTCCCCACCCAGTTAAAATGTATAAATTCAGCTTGTCTTACTGATTTTTTAAAAATTCTCACCATTTATGTGATAATCCTTTTTATTTCCTCCACTTTGGAAATACCCATTTCATTGATGAGCCAGAAGATTAGCTAAAATGTGTTTATCATGCTGTTACTTATTTTTGGATAGGATCGTGTTTTGGTTTAGAACAGTAGTGGACATCAATTCAGCGTTTGCTATGTAGGCAGAAGAAAAGCACAAGGACTACTAGAATATTTACATTTGGATTTATTAAATCTTCACAGTCTCACAAAATTATATCATAAACCTATCATAAGGGCATATACTAGTACTAGTATACACAATTAGTGACTTGTTACCTTTTGAGCTGCAGAGAGCTATATCTAGAAATATTCCCTGTGCTTTGTTCTAATTTACTTGATGTTACCTCTCCATTATTCTTGATACTATGATTCCTTTAGGAAAATAATTGTGAGAGGCTAAAGTTTTCTTATTTTGCAGCATTTACCCTAAATTTATATATTATCATTACAATAGAAAAAATGAGTATTTTCAATCTTTCCTTTTTGTGATCTATGAGCTATGTCACTAGCCATAAAAAGAATTAAAGACCCAAATTACATCTCAGCAGGTAGTGTCACTAATAATGCGTGTTAAAAAAAATTGCTTGTGTGCATGCATTCTTTAGGGTCTTATGCTGTTATTTGTTAAAGAAAATGACATAGTAATTTAAGTGTATACAGTACTTAATTAGATTACAATGTTAAAAATCATTAAAGTTCCACTGGCTGCTACAAGGTCAGAGAAAATGATGAAAAACTAATCTCAGCACTTATGCCTAAAGTGTAACATGGTAGAGTATTTCCCTTGAGTTTTCTAGTGTGGCATTTTTGGTCACATTTCAAATGATAAGTAAGTAAATAGGGTAAAACAGATTGAAAGTCTCTATGACATTCAATAGATGGGAGGTGACAGCAGGTGGAACTGATAAGAACTGGAGTTTTTAAAACTGGAGATGACTGAGAGAATCTTGCTGAATCTTGATTTGGGATTAATTAAAATACTACTAAGTATTTTAATGTCAGTCTTATTTTTCTTTTCAAAGTTCTTTCTTAATTACACAACTAAGGCACGATCACTGTAGAAAACTTAGAAAAACACATATGCAAATATTTTTAAAATGAAACAAAATCATCCTAAATTGCACTACCCTAAGGAAAAGTAATGACTGAAAGCATTTTGGTTAAGTCTCCTTCTAGACTCCCCACCTCCAAGCAAATACATTTTAATAAATGTTTGCTTAAATATATAAATGGATATTAGGCAAAAATGTTCTGTAATCCTCATTTTCTCTTAAAATGTCTTTACATGGCAGGAAATAGCCTATAGGAAAAGCTTAATATGCAAATCGACTGACCAGTTGGAAGATGGGGGAGGCCAGTGAGTGGGCGGCGCCAGGCCAGCCAAGGTGGGTGCCAGCAGACAGAGGGAGGGGACCAGGGGCGGCGGGGCAATTGGGGGACGGTGGTGACTGGTGGCAGGGAGATGGGGGGGCAGGACCCCACTGGCCGCCTCCCGCAGAGGTTTATTCAGCTTGGCTGCACTGGCCTTTCTACTTTTATACTCGGTTTAAGCACAGCATTTGTAAAATTGGGGTGATGGGGAGCAAGTGCCCTTCCCGCTGGACACAGCGACTTGAGTGCTGGCCTCATGTGCGTCCCCAGGTCGCCAGCAGACACCACCGCGACCAGGGGCCGTTACCTGGGGATGGGCCGGCCAAGGAGTGGGCTCTTCCGCCCTGTGCTGCTGCTGCTGGGGCCGCGCACCCTCCCCGCCTCCTTCCACCTCGGGCCTACATCCCTGACTGCAAAGCTAGCAGCAGCCAGCGAGCGGGCCACCAACCCAAGCGGGGAGCCACAAAGACCGGAAGTGCACCCCCAGGGCCTTCAGCTGAGACTCCTCCCGAGCCCCCATCCGCCCAATTGGGACCCAAACAGACCCCCCAAACCTCCCGTGGCCCCTCTCCCCGGCCAGCCCTGCCCCCAATTGGCCCCTGCCAGGGACCCTGACAGGAGGGAGGAGGGAGCCGATTCCTCTAGGCTGGCATCGGCGACAGAATATGGCTGAAACCAACTATTGGCACAATATGCCTCTGCAGCCAAAAGAAAGCGGTGTCATCAACAGAAATGTCTGAAGACCAACTATTGGTACAACATAGCTCTGAAGCCAAAAGAAGCTGGCGTTGTAGATAGAATATGTCTGAAGAACAGCCATCGACAATGTACTACCAATGCTGGTAGGAACTGCCTTCACAGTGAAATTGAAGTAAATGAGGATGCAATTATCAAACATAGTTGTGGTGGAATAACTGTTACATGTTAATTTTGCTTATCACTAAATTTCTCTGATGAAAAACCATCTGATGGAAAATTTACTCAATGTAGCAAAGGTAAAAAGTTTGTCCAAATGATAAACATTTTCCCGACATATTTTTTTAAATCCTATATAATAAAAGGCTAATATGCAAATCGATCTAACGGCAGAATGACTGGTCACTATGATGCACACTGACCTCCAGGGGGCGGATGCTCAATGCAGGAGCTGCCCCCTAGTGGTCAGTGCGCCAGAAGCCAGGCTCATGGCTGGTGAGCGCAGCAGCGGTGGCGGGAGCCTCTCCCACCTCCACAGCAGTGCTAAGGATGTCCAACTGACGGCTTAGGCCTGCTCCCCATGGGCTTCTGGACTGTGAGAGGGCACAGGCCAGGCTGAGGGACCTCCCTCTCTCCCCGAGTGCATGAATTTTGTGCACTGGGCCTCTAGTAGAATATACACTGAGTGGCCAGATTATTATGACTGGCCAGATTATTATGACCACCCCATCAGTACAATGAAGTGAATTAGTTATGCAAATAATAATAAAACCTTGAGAGTATTTGCTTAGGAAGTTTTCAATATTCAGTATTTTTGGAAGTGTCAATGAAGTACTGAAGTATTAGTATATTTACTAATAACTGAACATTTCCCCACTGTTTAGATATGCCATAGCTGACATAACCCTCTAATAATGGTTAATTTTTCAAGTCTCTCAGCAACATAAGCAACGAGTGAGGAGCATTAGTGATTGTGCCTCTTTCATTTGAGCACAGAGCTAATATTAACTTGCACTATTTTTAAGGATCACCAGGTCAGAGAATATGTACGTTTTTTTGTGTGTTTTTTTTTTTAATATATTTTATTGAGTTTTTACAGAGAGGAAAGGAGAGAGAGATAGAGAGTTAGAAACATCGATGAGAGAGAAACATCGACCAGCCGCCTCCTGCACACTCCCCACTGGGGATGTGCCCGCAACCCAGGTACATGCCCTTGACCGGAATCGAACCTGGGACCTTTCAGTCCGCAGGCCGACGCTCTATCCACTGAGCCAAACCGGTTTTGGCGAGAATATGTACTTTTTTAAGGGCTTGCCGGATTGTCTCCAAAAAGATTGTACTGATTTTTACTCCGACTAACCACTTATGAATTCCTATTTTTCTACACCCATGGCCAACATTGTTTAATCTGAAAATCTCCTTATTTTAGTTTTCATTTCTTTACCAGTAAGATTGCATTTTCCACATATTAGTTGTTATATTTCTTTTTGTGAGGGTGAATTGCCTTTTTCAGTTTGAGATCAATTTTTTCTTTTATTAAGGTGTTTGCCTTTTTATTTTTTATTCCTAATAGAGCTTTCATCTGCCCAGTTTGTTTCTTCTTTAACTACACGGTATGCTTTGGGGGTAGATGTTTGGCCCTATAGTTTTCTTTTCCCTCTGTAGTTAGGTTTCTTGGTTGTTTCTTTTAATAGAAGTGAAAGTAGTAACATAATACTTTTTTCTTAGGGACATGTTATATTCCTCATTTAGCTGAGTACAGCTGAAAGGGTGTTAGGGTGTTCCTTGTTACTTCTCTTTACCAGGGGGTGTATCACCCCCCATCAGATTTCTGGATGCTACAAGTTTTGATGTCATAATTCATTGTTTTATCTTGCAAAATCATACACTATCACAATAGAAACTAACTCCACTACTGTTTTCTTATGTGTATTAGCCAATTAAGACAGTGGAATTATTTTTTAATTTGCAAGAGTATCTTTGGGTTAAGAAACAAGGTTAAATATCTTGGGAAAGTGAAGATACTGCTAATATCTATAGGGTGCTAGGTAGCTTATCGATTAGAAGGATATAAAAGTTAATGTATATGAGACAAAAAATGTGTGGCTGTTGCTCCTTCCTCTTGAACCTGGTGAAAGTCACAGGAAAAATCAATTAATAACTACCCAGGGAGAATAAGGACCACCTTTGTCATTCACCAGGACTTAGTTCTAAGGCCAGGTAAGTGAGGTAGGTCAGAGACGCTGCTTGTTACTTGAACTTGACTAGGTCTTGGGACTATTCAGGCAAGTTGCCCTCCTTTGCAGCTATCCTGAGTGTGGTCAGAGCTACTTCCCTCTATACTTGTGAAATGAGGGCAGGAGGGCCCATGATCATTAGAGGAAGTGGATAGTGGGGAAAAGTTGAGATACATAAAATGTGTCTTACTGCTCAAGCCTCTTCATGATGTTTGTTAATGAGATTACCAACTTCATGTTAATGAGATTACCAACTCTAGGTGAATGAAATAGAGCAGCGGTTCTCAACCTGTGGGTCGCGACCCCTTTGGCAGTCAAACGACCCTTTCACAGGGGTCACCTAAGACCATCCTGCATATCAGATATTTACATTACGATTCATAACAGTAGCAACATTACAGTTATGAAGTAGCAACGAAAATAATTTTATGGTTGGGTCACAACATGAGGAACTGTATTTAAAGGGCCAGAAGGTTGAGAACCACTGAAATAGCGTATACTAGTAAAATCATTCTGCTCAATGTACATCACATTATTTTACTTTTCTCATGAGTGATGATGTGCTCTTTAGATGTGCATATTTTAAAGCTAAATTAAAAATGTAAAAGTATAATTATGTATTTCAATACTATATAATTTTATATACTTCATGTGATTTTCATTGGTTCTGGGAAGATGTTGACTTTTTTCCTACCTAAAATGATTTCAGGAGCAGACATGATAAGCATACACAATGAAGAAGAAAATGCTTTTATACTGGATACTTTGAAAAAGCAATGGAAAGGCCCGGATGATATCCTACTAGGCATGTTTTTTGACACTGATGGTAAGTGCTATTTATCTTGAGATATATCCTTTTTTCCCCCTTAACATTAGTAAAACTGGTCACTTTCTTTTATATTCTTCAATTTCCTAGTTCAAGGTGGTGTTTCCTCTGGTGTCTAGGTACTGCAGTTTCAGCGTCACCCATGGCCTGTACCACAGCTTTTCCCTGTGCAGGTCAATGTGTTCCACATGTGAGAATCAAAGTTGATTCTTTTGTCTGGATTAGAATGTGGTTCTAGGTTCAGTAATTTTGTAAGATGGTAGGGTTATAAAAATCAGTACCGATGTCAATGATTATGATACAGATGGACAGCTATCAAGGTTGTATAATGTAAATGTATTTATTGTCACTGTAGAAAATACGTAATTATTTTCTAAATGAAATTACTAAGTTTACTATTAATAATTTATTTTCTTGGCTATTTCCCATTAATATATTTTTTCTGTACAAATATGAGATCTGCAGAACCTTCTTGAACCGATACCTTTGATTGACCTATACACAGGACATGCTCCTTCTCTCTTTATATATATATATATATATATATATATATATATATATATATATATATTTATATATATATACTCTTTGCTAGTTTATTGAACTTAAAAAATTGAAGATCCCGCATTTTTAAAAGGTCTTTTTACATAAAGTAGAATTTCTAATTGACAGATTTGGAAATCAATCTGAATTGGACAAACTATGGACTCAACACACAGATGAGATTTCCTCATACCATTACCTTGACATGGATTTGATACCCACCCTCAAAAGAATCCTATAAAAAATTGCTTCATAGCCCCTTTAAAATTGCAATAGTGCAGCAAAACCACAAGTAAACCACTGCCTATTAACCTGTTATTTTAAATATAGCCTGAAAAGCCAACAGGCATTTTTTGTGCAATTTTTTAAAACATTGTAAGATGAAATATCAAATCTGCACAGTGCTGTCCTTTCACAGAAGGTAAGAAACCGCCAGCCCATCATGTTGGAGGCTGGCCTCGGTGCTGTAGGCTATGAAAGTGGGCTTCCTTCAGGGTCTGGTCGATGTGGAAGTAAAGACCTTGGCATAGTGCAGACTGCTCGGGTGCGGGCTGAGGGGTGTTGGGGCTGGACCCGGTGACCATGTGGTTCAAGTTACTTTCTAGCCCACTGGCTCTGTCTTGGCTGTTGATGCTGCTGCTGCTTCCACCACTGTCACGGCGTGAAGACTGTGTCCCAGGAATCAGGAAAGACAGGGTTTCTACTACTCCTTTTGGTCTGTGGGGGGAGGTGGTGGTTCTCTTCATTGCCATTCCTTCTCCTTTTCCTGGGGCGGAGGTGCTTGCTCCTGTTCCTTTTCTAATTAAAATCCTACAACCAAATGTTTAGACTAGACGTACCTTTCTAACTTTCTACCTTTAATCCTAGACCCTTTGGGTTTTATACTGATAATGTTGAAAATATTCTTAACTGACAGATCAGAGTTTCAAGTGGTTTGATAAGTCAAATATGACTTTTCGTAAGTGGACAGACCAAGATGAGGAGGAGGAGGATCTGGTTGACACCTGTGCCTTTTTGCACACCACGACCGGAGAATGGAAAAAAGGAAATTGTGAAGTTTCTTCTGTGCCAGGAGCCCTTTGTAAAGCAGCTAGTAAGTACAACTGAAGACCTTTTTCCAATCTAAGAGGCATGGGAGAGTAGGGATGGTTTTGAAAAAATTTTATTTGAGATAAGTATGCCTAAGGGGAGGGAATAAGACTTCAGAATACATTAGGGTGGTTTGTTCTCAAATCTCTTGGAAGTCAAGCATTAATTCTCTTACATTTCAAAGGTTGGGCCAGATCAGGTGAACCACATACTTAAAAGAAAGATTATCTTTTTGTTGAAAATATTACAGATGTCTCCCTTGCCCCCTCCCCTGGCCTTCTCCGAACTATTGTATGTCCATGGGCTATGCATATACACATATAAATTCGTTGGTTAATCTCTGCCCCATCCCTCTGAAATATCAGTCTGTTCCATGCTTCAATGTCTGTATATTTTTTGTGGTCAGTTTATTTTGTTCATTAGAGTCCACGTATAAGTGAGATCATGTAATACTTATCTTTCTCTGACTGGCTTGTTTTGAACCACACATACTTTTATTCTGTCTGCTTATTCTTAAGAGTTTGTAAGAGGTCAAAATTCCTTCTGTTGTTCAGAGGAATTATCATAGCCCCTTTGCATGTGATTTGACTGAACAGTGGAAGTGGTGAATGAAGATTCCAGGATTCGAATGTTTAAAAAGAATTTGATTCTGTACAAAAATGAATATCTTTTCTTTGGGCAAAGAAAATTTTTGTTGTAGTTTATAATTGATTCTGGATTAAAATGTAAGCTTTCTTCTGATCCATCAGCATACTTTCTAGTGAACAAAATTATTCTGACACAAAACATTAAAAAAAATCCTCTGGGGGGGGAGGGGGGAGAGGGGAGACGGGAGAAAGGAGAGGGGAGATGGGAGAGGGGAGAGGGGAGAGAAACATCAATGGGTGCCTCCCGACTAGGGATGGAACCTGAAACCTGGGTATGTCCTGACCTGGTATTGAACCCTCGACCCTTTGGTGCACAGGACAACACTCCAACTGAGCCACACCAGCCAGGGCCTAACCCACATTTTGATGTTATTATTAAACACTAGAGACCTGGTGCATGGAATTCATGCACTGGGGGTGGGGGTCCCTATCCGGGCCTGTGCCTTCTCACAGTCCAGGAGCCCTTGGGGATGTTCAACTGCTGGCTTATGACTGGGGAATGGGCCTAAGCCGGCAGTCAGACATATTTAGTGCTGCCACGGAGGTGGGAGAGGCTTCCACCACCACCACCACTGTGCTCGCCAACTATGAGCCCAGCTCAGGGCTTCTGGCTGAGTGGCGCTCCCCCTGGTGGTCAGTGTGCATCATAGTGACCAGTCATTCCGCCATTCAGTCGATTTGTATATTAGCTTTTTATTATATAGGATTACACAGTTTGTTCTAAGTTTTAGAAATGATTGTTTTTTCATTAGAGACACTTACAATTTCAAAATTTTGGAGTGTGTGAAACAAGACAGTCATTTTCTCACTTTGCATCTTTAGTAATGCCTCCTTCTACTTTAACTGTAAACCAAAACTATACACCTACCTCTGATTCTTTCTTTACTAGAGGCCCTGTGCACAAAAATTTGTGCACTGGAGGGGGGGGAGGTCCCTCAGCCTGGCCTATGCCCTCTTTCAGTATGGGACCCCTCGGAGGATGTCCACCTGCTGGCTTAGGCCCGCTCCCTGGGGGATCGGGCCCAAGCTGGCAGTCAGGCATCCCTCTGGCAGCCCTCATGGGATGTCCACTTGCCAGTGGGGAGCAGGCTTAAGCTGCAGTCGGACATCCTTAGCGCTGCTGAAGCAGTGGGAGAGGCTTCCACCACCACCGCTGTACTGGCAGTTGTCAGCCTGGCTTGTGGCTGAGCAGAGCTCCCCCTGTGGGAGCACACTGACCACCAGGGGGCAGCTCCTGCATTGAGCATCTGCCCCCTGGTGGTCAGTGTGTGTCACAGTGACCAGTCATTCCCAGTCGTTCTGCTGTTAGGGTCAGTTTGCATATTACCCTTTTATTATATAGGATAGAGGCCTGGTGCATGGGTGGGGGCTGACTGGTTTGCCCTGAAGGGTGTTCCGGATCAGGGTGGGGGTCCTGCTGGGGTGCTTGGCCAGCCTGGGTGAGGGGCTGATGGCTGTTTGCAGGCTGGTCAAGCCCCCCCACCCCCAGTGGGGAACCTCACCCCATGGAGGTTTGGCTAGCCTGGGTGAGGAGCTGATGGCTATTTTCAGGCTGGCCACACCCCCTTTAGGGTCAGGGGTCCCCACTGGGGTGCCTGGCCAGTCTGGGTGAGGGGTTGAGGGCCATTGCCAGGCTGGCCAAGCCTCCCCCCACAACAGAAGCTCTCATCCTCTCCTTTTTTTTTTTTTTATTCTGGGATTTATTTACCTTCTATAATTAAAACTTTGTAGCCTTGAGAGGAGCTCAGAGCCAGCCAGGGCAGGGGGGAGGGAAGCCTTCTGCTCGCTCCAGCTCCATGGCCACGGCCGGCTGAAAGCAGGTATCTGGGGTTTATTTACCTTCTATAATTGAAACTTTGTTGCTTTGATTGGAGCTCAGAGCCAGTGGGAAGCTTGGCTTCCTCCATCATTGGGGCAATCAAGCCTCCTGCTTGCTCCAGCTCCGTGGCTGCCGGCCGCCATCTTTGTTGGGTTAATTTGCATATATTTGCTCCGATTGGCTGGTGGGCGTGGCTTAAGGCATAGCAAAGGTACGATCAATTTGCATGTTTGTATTTTATTAGTGTAGACTAGAGGCCCGGTGCACAAAAATTTGTGCACTCGGGGGGGGCCCCTCAGCCCAGCCTATGCCCTCTCGCAGTCTGGGACCCCTCAGGGGATGACCACCTGCTGGCTTAGGCCCACTCACCAGGGGATTGGGCCTAAGATGGCAATCAGGCATCCCTCTGGCAGCCCGGCAGCCCTCAGGGGAGCAGGCCTAAACTGTAGTCGGACATCCTTAGTGCTGCTGAGGAGGCAGGAGAGGCTCCCACCACCACTGCTGTACTAGCAGCCATCAGCCTGACTTGTGGCTGAGCAGAGCTCCCTCCATGTGAGAGCGCCCTGACCACCAGAAGGTAGCTCCTGCATTGAGCGTCTGCCCCCTGGTGGTCAGTGGGTGTCATAGTGACCAGTCACTCCCAATCTTTCTGCTGTTAGGGCCAGTTTGCATACTACCCTTTTACTACATAGGACAGAGGCCTGGTGCACGGGTGGGGGCCGGCTGGTTTGCCCTGAAGGGTGTCCCGGATCAGGGTGGGGGTTCCCCTGGGGTGCCTGGCCAGCCTCGGTGAGGGGATGATGGCTGTTTGCAGCTGGTCACACCCCCTTCAGGGTGGGGGTCCCCACTGGGGTGGCCTGGCCAGTCTGGGTGAGGGGCTGAGGGCCCTTTTCAGGCTGGAGGGTGACTGAAGCTCCCAACCTCTCTTCTTTTTCTTTTTTTTATTCTGGGATTTATTTACCTTCTATGGCTGTCACTAGAACTGAGAGCCAGCTTTAGTTCTGAGGCTTGGCTCCAGCTCTGAGGCCCGGCTGGCTGAAAGCAGGTTTCTGGGGTTTAGCTTCTATAATTGCAACATTGTTTCTTAGAGTGCAGCTCAGAGGCCGGCAGCAGCAGGCGGGGAACCTTGGCTTCCTCCATCACTGGAGCAAGCAAGCCTCCTGTTCGCTTCAGCTGCCTGGCTGCTGGCCGCCATCTTGGTTGGCAGTTAATTTGCATATCACCCTGATTAGCCAATGGGGAGGGTAGCGAAGTTACGGTTAACTACCATGTTTCTCTATTAGATAGGATATCTGAACTAGGTATTTTTTACTTGCTTCAGCAGAGTTCTTGACTACAGTGTTTTATAGTAATTCCATAAAATTTGTCATAGCTTTATGATAGTAGCATTCAACTTCCAGTGTTTTTATTTTTTATTTTTTCGTTCATTTACTGTGCCTTAGGGAACCATTATATAAACCAAACTTTTAATTAAACTATAACTTTGAAACATCATGAATAAATCCATGATAATGAGGTAAAAGATTAGTTGTATACTTTTTTCCTACATTCTCCCAACCAAAATCCTCTTTACCTCACTTATCTTTTTCTTGAGCCCCCTTATTCTTTTTCCATCACCAAGCTAATGCATTTTGTAAGACCTCTACATCTTTTATTAAAGCCTAAGTTCAAAACAGATAAAGGCAATACCAAGAAATGGGAATGGATACTATTAAGCTATTAAAGGGTTCATTTTTAACTGCTTTGAAAGTATTTAAAGGCAATCTTAGAATATTAAAATTTTTAATTTCGATTTTCTTTTGTATTTCAGTTCCATATGAAAAGAAATATTTATCAGGTATGTAATAGTCTTTTCTTAAATTTTTTTCACTAATGACCCTCTCTAAAAAATTTAACATAAAGTAGAACAATTTTTATACAAATGTAGAAAGGTCTCAGCTTTGTAATAAGACTGACATTTTAAATATGATTAACTGCAAGTTATGTAAGAAATGAACGTTTTTTAAAACACCAAATTTTTTCATTGAACTCCAGTATGTTTGTGTGGGAAATGACTATCTTTTCTTCAAAAAAATTTCCCCTCAGTTGTAATTACATGTCTTGGGGGCTTTCTAAACACATTTTTTAAAAGCTGCAAGATAATACATGTATTTACATGGTTCAAAAGCAAACCCAATCAAAGGTCCTGGAGGCAACTTGAGCACAGGTCACTTGCAGAATGTAAAAACACAAGGAGTATATATACTATGCCCTACCAATGCGGAATGCTATTCAGTTCTTAAGATACTAGAATAGTGAAATAAGAGCAGTATGTTCACACTGGTCAAGTCAGAGTGCTATACCGCAAATGGGCTGTGTTAAGTTTAATAAAAACAATTAACTATGAAAGAATCCCATTTGAAGTTTACAGATTTCTTGGCTTAACTTTATTTTACTTAAATGTCTCTAAAGAAGCCTGTCAATATTTTAGAAATATCAATGGCTTTTCCTCATCTTAACAGATAACTTCTGGCAGGATTTTTCTTGCTAAGCTTTACATTTCCAAGTCTCACTTTAACAAGCACCAGCTGAAAAGAGCATTATGAGAATATTTTAGTAATCTCAATGCAAAAATACAATATTAAAGAAAAAACAATTCTGGGATTTCTCTTCATTTACTTTTACTATGAAATACAAATACCTTCCTCAAAGTATTGTCCTCATCCTGACTCCTAAACAGAGTGATTTTGCTTGAGTTATTCAACTAAATTCTTACAGAAAGGTTCCAAGGTTTTGATAACCAAAACTGCAAGGTTGTACACAATTACTTCAGGAATACAAAAATAGTTATTTGAATAAATTCAAAAGACAAAAAGGGATTTTTGAATCTTGGAGAATTAAAAAATTTACCTGAAAAATCTAAATATGGCAGTTTTCAAGCAAAAAAATATAAACCTTGATAGTAATTGTATAATTTTTCTCATCAGTGTGGGAAATTCCCAAAATAGGCAAGTATTTACATGATAAAACTATTAGTGTCCCCCCCCCCCCAAATACATTAGCAATTTATGTACCTGATTTCCCATATTTTGTCTTTTCCTTTACAGATAACCACATTTTAATATCAGCTTTGGTGATTGCTAGCACAGTAATTTTGACAGTTTTGGGAGCAATCGTTTGGTTCCTGTACAAAAGAAATTTGCATTCTGGTTTCACCACCGTTTTTTCAGTTGCACCCCAATCACCTTATAACGATGACTGTGTTTTGGTAGTTGCAGAAGAAAATGAACACGCTGTTCAATTTGACTGAAACTTTGAAAATCTTGGATTAAGACATCAAACACACTGGCAGTGATTCATGTGTAAGACTTTTATATAAAACTTCACAATGAGTTTTTATGGTATATATCCTTATTTCAGTAACATCCCTCATCGCATTTGAAAAAGGAATGATCTTAAGATATGTTAGTGGTTATAACCACCTCCCCAAATGTTACTTTTTACTTGCAGGAAAGCTTAAAGCACAGCAGAAAAAAACAAAAAACACCCCAAACCCACTCTATTTGTATTACCTGCTATATCTTCCTTCCCTCCTCCCATTTACTTGAACCACCTTATAGTTGGGGAAAAAATTCTACCTACCACTAGTTTTAGCAATTGCTACATCTTGCTCTTATTAATAAACATGCATAGGGAATAAACCTAACTTTATACTATATATATATTGATAATCATGAGTACATGCTGGTTACTATAGCAGATAATTTGTCTTCATCTTCAAAATTTAGATTTTGAAGATGTAGAATTTTGCAAGAGCTGCCATTAGGTAGAATTTAGATGTAGGAAATGTTAAGGATGTTAACTTTTTATTTCATATAAGTTGTGTAATTTTACAATTTCATTACTTTTTGGACAACACACAGTATTTAGCACTGATCACCAATGGTTAGAATTTTAATAAAATTTTTTGAAACAAAAAAACTATAGCCATACCAGGAAGGTGATGGGAGGCAGGTAGTAAGGATAACACTTGAAATATAATGCCTTTACTTTTCCCCTACCACCAGACGTACTCCCATATAAGGTTATCTTATACTCCTCCAGCACTGACCTTTATATTTCAATGACATAAGCAAAAAATGCAGAAAAACACTGTACTATATGGTAGTGATGATGCTTAAAAGTTCTCAGCCCCTTTCATGGGCAATTTAAGGTTGAAAAATAATCATTTTGGGGGTAAAAAATGAAAATGGAAAAAAGCTGAAAGTTATTTTCTTTAGTTTTTTTTATAGCTTAAAAACTATTAGAAAACATAAAGAACATACAGAGTTCATATACAATTATATTTACTCCATTTAGAAACACAAAGCTCAGTTAAATCCTCTCTCAATAACCCACAGTTCACACTATCAAGTTTGACCAAAGGCAACAGTCCCAGCTTGTGTCATGTTTCCCTTCTCACAATTAATGGCACTTTTGTTAAGGAGATAGTAACAATAAAGGCTATGTGGTATTAGAGAAAATGTTACAGAAGCTGTATTATACAATTATGCCCTGTAAGAGCTTTAATTTTTTATTTTATCTTATGTGGTGATTTAGAAGGTTATTGTTGATAAGCTAGTAAGTGGTACTAAAGATAGTGAACATTAGACTGGAATTCCTTCTTGCTTTTCTACTCAGATTCTAGGAGTTTGAGAACTAAGGATGATCCCGATCTCTTAATACTTTCTCCTATTGTCACAAATCTCTACAATGGCCAATATGGTAGTTAACTTGCAGCACCCACAAAATGTGTGGCTTTTAAATTAAAAATAACTTAGTTCCTCAATTACACTAGCAACATTTCAAGTGCTCAGCTCACATGCAATTTAAAATATTTCCACTTTCACTGGTTAAATGCTGCTCTAGAATCTCCCCTCTCCTTCCACTCAATTCTCATACAATGTACAACTGATTTCTTCTGTTTGTTTTGATAACTTCTACTTAATGGCAACTCTTGCAAAATGGCTGTTTTAAACTGATACCCCTGTGTTTATTTTTCAAACAAGTTATTAGAGGACCCTGGTAATGAAATGTTAAATCTTAATTTTCTTTATGTATCAGAACATCTGTAAACAGGCCCTTATTTCTATTTAAAGGTCAACAGATTAACTGGAACATTCAAATCTGTATTTTTATTAACAAATAATATGCATGTTTATTTATACTCAGAATGTTTAAATTGCTTTCTTTAAGACCATGGTCTAGTTAATTTGGCAGATATCTAGAAAGAATAACATTACATTTTCCTAGGAATTTGCAATCTTTGTAGTGAATAGTGTATGGTGCCCTATTTTTGTTCAGAGTTTGTGATAACCAATGGAAATATTTTTCTTATTCCCTCTAATTCCCATTTACAGGATATCAGAAGCAAATATTAAATATGTAGTGCTAAGAACTACAAGAATACTATAAAGCTCAAGCCACTGTCACTTAGTATTTAAAAAAACTATAAAATTGTACACCAATGGAATTTTTACCATTCAATTTTTCAAATAAAAAATATTGTGGGTTAAAGCAGAAGACACTTTAGTTTTTTAATACTGAATTCTAGTAAAAGTATAAATGTTTCAAATTCAAAGCAACCCTAAGGACCCACAGAATAGATACTGAAACTGGCATCCTTAAGTTAGCATTTTTGCTTTACATAAGGTAATGAACACAAAACTAACAAGTTGAGCAAATGTTTTAGAAACATTGTTTTGTATGAAATGGAATTTGAAAATTTAATAAAATTCTTGCTATAAGGTTTGAAGTCTACTTTGAGCACCAAAAGCAAACATTTCAAGCTATAACGTAAATCAATCAGTATACTTTATTTTGAGCCAAGGTTTTACATGAAGACCAACAAAGTAAATGTTGATTCAGATTTGAGAAATTACATGGTTTCTATTTAGATTTGGAAAAAGAAGTTTGTTGCCATGGCCTACGACTTTATTCAACCTAAAACCAAATGAAAGTGTTTTTGAGTGAATCCTAAGGTTGCTCACTGAGAAAATACACTGTTCTGGAATTATACACGACGCATAACCACAGTGTAGATCTATTCATGGTGAACAGGTAAAAGTTCTTTTGTTCTCCAAATGTAGTGAAAAATAGTAAGCCACTAAATAAATGCTCAGATTAACAACAGTTAAAAACGATCAGGATCCAAACAGGTTTTTATTTACGAAGAAGTGACAACACTAAAAAACATATTGAAAACCAGTGTTTTAAACTTTGAATGTGGGATTTAAAAATATTCCATTAACTTGAGATTGCAATAATTTTCTTTTTACCAAATAGCATTTGACTGGCAATTCTGGTATAATTTAGAGCTGAAATATTCCTAAAGGAATATCTACATACTATGGCCTATCAAATATAACCTGCATTTTTCAAATCAATACAAAAATGTATCCATCATTTATACATTTTAAATTTATATACTTTTTAAAAAATTAGGTATTACCGCTAAATAAATTTAGAATTTAAAGTAAATTTGGACACCTAATATAATGCTCTTCATAACTTACTCCCCCCTACTCATTCTTATTTTTTTTTTTTAAACACCGGAAGCAAATGATTATGTAAATGAGACCACAACTTAAGGCATTTTAAAAGGAAAAATAATTAGGTGCCATTTGGCATTTTATTTTGAAAGCAGTTTTGTCTCATTTTTTTTCACTAGCAAAGGGCTAAAACACGAACCATTTTCATAAATATGACTACAATAATCAGAACAAAAAAAGGGTTGTAGGCATTGCTTAGATATTTAAAACAATTTAACACTTCCCCACTCACCTAAAAGAAAAATACTTTTGATTACCAGTTTATTAACATCAGTGACTGGCCATGTTAAAAGGTCCAGCAAGTAGAATTTTAATTCAGCAACACTTGAGAATGAATATATATATATATATATATATACACACACATGCATACGTGTGTGTGTGTGTGTATATATATATATATATATATGTATTCATTTTATTTATATAATGTATTTAATAGGCATTCCCCCACAAAATTAACTCATACTTAATTGCCAGTTTTAATAAACACTTGTTAACAGATCATCCATTTGTCTTATATGAAGTTAGGCAATATCAAATGTTCTGTTATGTTCTCCATCTTCTTCAGAATCATCCTCTGAAGCTGTTGAAAGAAAAGAGGATGATCAAGAATGATTTTAAGGGGGATGAGAATGGAAGTGTAAATATGAAGCCAGAAGAGCAATGACTTGTAAAATAAAATCCCAACGTAGTAAACTCTTTGGTCAAAATGAAGATATGATGGGTTAGGGTAGTTTGACTGTGGGTAATGCCATTCCAAAACACCCCCATCCCTAAATCTTTTTATGTTAGTTTCTATAAAAACAAAAATGTTTTAAAATGTGGTTCAAGAGCATCTTCTAAAAAGTTTCTGAGATGTTTGTGCTCATATTAGCCAATTCCAATAGAGAAAAAGTAAACTTAAAACAAGTGCTCTCACACACCTGCGTCTGGCTTATTACTGCAACATGTTTTGATGCATCCGGTGAGAATGGAAAAAAATGTGCACAGAATAGATTATGGGTATTCTTGCAAATTACATCAAAGCTGTGTCTATACAATGCCAAGAAAAAGCTCTATTTCGTTATTCAAAATAGTTATCTATAGACACAGCCTAAACTAAAATAATTGGATTCAGTAAAAACCTTTTGTTGAAATTACTCCTATAACTCCACACTGCCAGAAACTTATCATTTTGCAATATTTCGGACCTCAACTTATTTTAGCGTCATTAGTGGTTCAACAATTTAATATGAAACATCCTGTAATGTCTTTAGGAGGAACATAAGTATTCTGTAAACTGCTCTGCATGTTGAGGAAAATGGAAGTTCACTAAAATAAACATTGAACTAGCATTTCCCCTATTATCAAGGGCATTTACTCTTCTTGTGTTAACACTGGTGGATTTAAGAGTACCCAGCAAATGACTTCCACCAGAAAACTATGCTACATGTACAGTTTCTCAGTCTATTCGTTGATCTTGCAGAAAACTTAAATGATACCAAGCATAAAGCTCATGAATGCATAAACACAAGGGTTAAGTTTTATGCTGTATCATGGGGCAGTAGCAAACTAAAAGTAAATTGCTTTGTAAAGAACTTATGTTTTCTATTTTATTTACTCCACAGGTGAAAATTCGGTCAGAACCCATGTTCAGAATGTTAATATGCTGGTATTTATTTGGTAGTTAACTTGTAGCACCCACAATATCTCTCATTCTCAGCTGAGTTTGAGTATATTTCACCTCCATCTTTTTTCCTCTCTCTCATGTTTAGGAGTTGACACTTATGTTTAGGGAGCTAAATTATAAAAGAGAATTAAAAAAAATAAAGACAAACAATCTGGGAAAAATACTCACTGAAATTATATCTGATAAAGTATAAACTATTTACAAAAAAAGGGATAAGATGATATAAAGGAAAAAAGATTTACATCCCATTTCATATACCATTTGGCTCTTTTATATACAATTTTTACACATACTAACTAAATTCTAAAAATGCATTATCTGGTTGTACCTCTACTCTTTTTAAAACTTAAAAATAGCACAGAATGACAAAAATCCATATCTTAGAGTAATCAAAGAATTAAAAAGTTCTTATGAGAACTAAATCCCCCTCAAACCTTATTTCAAAAGATGCTGAACACTTGCTAAAGATGAAAATGTTATGCACACTACAGACAACACTTTCAAGTATTTTGAAGATGATATAGAAGGTAATCAACTAGAGAATACATATTTTAAAACACTTCAAAGAGTGCATTCAAATTTGATCATGGGGAGCCACTTGCTTTGGGTGAAAAAGTACTAAACAGGGTAATCTTGGAGTCCCAGGAACTATTCCAGAGCCACCAGTATCTGCGTCCACCTGGTATGAAGCACCATGGAGGTTGTAGGACTTTGAGAAGATGGTATGTTGTACAGATGCCTGTAAAAATTTGGACATTAAATGCCTTCATATAGGAGCCCAGGCAGAAGTCCTAATGCTAGAACAGGATCTAAAAATGTCCATGAGGACCTGAACAAGGAGCAAAACAAACAAAAAAGGAACTAACCCACCACTATGGCTTCTGTTATGGATTCAGAATTAGCGCTCTTTTACCCCTATTTTCTTACAACTATATATAAACCCAGGAAAATCTTTTATGATCTAACAAAGCTGAATAACAAAATTTCATGCACAAACACAAAAATCTAAAAGATTAAAAAGTGTCGTTTGATTAGTAGTCAAACGTCTTAAGTGTGAAAATTAAAGTGATCACAAACAAAATTTTATTTAATAGACGTAATACACTGATGGTTAAAAGTAGATCCTTCTGTACTTTAAAATTAGTACCATTTAAAAAAATACGTTTTAAAAATCCTAATGTCAGATGCCCAGCCGTCTTTCCCAAATCAATGGTATTAAGGCTATAAATGAAGCTCTAATTTGATAGAGTATATACTTAAGGCTTTGCTCTGTGAGTTTAATTTGCAACAGTAAATTCAACAAGTCTGGGGAGGGGGAATTCCACCTACTTTCGAGATCTTCCATATGTGCCTGAAGAGTTCTTGCAAGGTTAATAAACTAGAAACAATGCAGAAAAAAATACAGTAGTTGAAATGTTGCAAATGGATCTGAAGAGAGATTCAGTTTAGGATTTTCATTTCTATTTAAAAAGTCAAACACCATTTTTAAGCCTTTAAATAGGAGGGTCTTTCTCGACCCACATCAAAAATTACTAAGCTTAAGGATATTGTTTTTAAATTTTTTATAAATCATAAATTAATCATGTATTGAGCATGTAGAAATTGGTAGCAAATACAGAATTTGTATCAAATAACATTTCTCTTGCATAAATGTTAACGCAACAATTATGAAAAAAATAAAAACTTTAGAATTTGGACTCATGAATTCAATTTTAGTGGTCAATTTAGAAAATTAAAACAAGAATATTACGTAAATGTGACAACTTGAAGTATTGCACTTGATTCTATATTTTTTTAAAAATCATAAAAATGACTTGCACTTGAATATTAATTTGACTACAGCTTTTTAAAAAGGCATGAATTCAATAGAACTTATTAGACTTATACGGTTTATTCATTCTTAAGAAAGAAGTCATTTTATGGCATTAACTAGATTTAGGTAGTACTATGATTTCTAAAATACTAAGAAATCAAGAGATCTTTGCTCAAATTCTGGATGGTCTTAAGACAGTTTATTCTCTTTTCCTCAATGATGATAATCTGTCAACTGGCTCACAGGTATAATAATGTGCATATGATTGTTACAGAAAAATGTTTTACCAATGTATAATAATATACATTACATTTTTATAATTTAAAAAATACCATAAATTGTTAAATTTTTGTCACTAAAATGAACACTTATATAAAAAAGGTTAAAGGATATGTTTATGAACGCATTTAAAGATATGAAGTGTTCAGATAATTACAGTAATGAGATGTAGGTGGCCCTAGCCTCTGCTACACAAAATGAACAAGGTAGCAGCATACAAATTTCCTCTGGTACACTGAGGCAAACTGTTATCATTTATGACTACCTAACTAACAGCTAGCTTAAGTGTTAAGTTAATGTAATAGTGTACAGAGCAAATACCAAATAGTCCGTATCTAAAATAGTTTGCATTATGGACTCACTTGAAAATTAGTACATTGGTAAGCTTTTACATGACAGTAACAAAAAAATTGAGGTTAATTTCCTGTTCTCACTTGGTTTTTGGAGTTCAGATTTCTAAGTTATATTTCTAAGTCATCCTCCTCTCCCCTCAATTAAAAAGAGAACATTTTCCCCTTAGTGTTTCCAATTCTGTTTTTCACTGAAATATATTCCAATTACCTTTATGAGCTAGAAAATTACTTCTCTAAAATAGCTTTATGAGAAAATTAGGCTGCTTAATATAGAAGATAGCAATTTCTATTAAATCTACTTTATTTTTAAGAGACATTTTAACACAAGAAGTCCTCAAAGGAAATAGAATATGAGCATATAAAACAATCTGCTTTCCAAAACAAACACCTGGTACATCACACCCTCCAAACCACCCCCCTCCAACATTACTTACTCGGACCCGTGTGCTTGGTTCACTTGTATTTCCCATCATATCAGAAAAGCTTTGTTCGCACAAGTGCAATAACACAACTAGGTAGAGACCAGAGCTGATAAACTCATACTCAGCCTTCAAAAGAGAAGCAAACAAAAGAAAAAGAAAATGGAGAATGAAAAATTAGTAAACTTGAGACTGATAGTCATAGTACACTGATAAACTAGAGGAAATATATTCATTCATGTGTAGCTCCTAGTAAGAGATATGGTGCCATCTTATTAAAACAGGAAATAAAGGGCCACCCTTCATAACATCATAAAATTTTACTAATGCCAAATAATGAGTCCGAATAGGTGTGTGAATAGCCTCTTTAGTCTCATACAGTCTTCCTTTATGTAATGGTTTATATAAAAGTGGGACTTTTAAGTCATATGATTATAGAATGAATCTGGTTCTTTATAAAGCTCATATGCACTTTCACTGCACAAATGACTAAATATTTACTTAAAAATTTTCACTTCATCTACAGCTAACTCAATATATACTATATAACTAAAACCTACTCTGATAGGTCACATGATTCTTAGGTAATACAATTAATTTAAAGGCAACGGTAATTAAAAGAATAAACTAAAAAAGGAAATAGAGTAACTGTTACTCAAATAATTCTTTGATTCCAAACTGTTCTATTGTTTTGAAGCTAAAACTACAAATCATATAGTGTTTTTAAAATCTGAACTGTCCTGTAGTTTTTATACAGCAAGCTATCTGTAAGCTGTGCCATTTTGGTAATTAACTAATCTGCAAGTTAAGAACTATACCTTATTAGTACCAACTTCAGCAAGTTATCAGATTCTAGAGTACTAAAAAAAAGTCAAAGTTGATTTATTAAATGCTTCTTTAATTACTTAATTACTTTTACCTTACAAGAAAATTATATACCCATAAGATTTTAAAAATGTTAATGGTTAGTACCTTGAAAAAAATGAAGCCACTGGATAATGAAATACTAAACTGTATTAATATTAAACTAATCACTTAAAATGGGGGTAGTTATCAGGCCACCAGAATCCATAATTCACAAAGAACAAAGAAGTTAAAGCCAGGAAGCTTTCTTAGCAATGACTCCACCTATTTCCCAACACTTACAAATTACTTAAGATGTGGATCATTAAAATCATTGGAGAACAGTAAAAACATTCCTGGATTAACTGAAAAGCCAAACACCACCTTTAAGAGACACGATGGAGTACTTAGAGAAGGAAGAATGGCAGGAGAAAACCATCCTTTGTAACCTATTCACATTTTGAGAATAAAAAAATATTTCTTTGCATTACTCCATCTTTCCATACTCTTCTACCATTCTTTAAAGTACCAATGCTCAGGTGTCTAGAGAGACTCCTTTGGGGATTTAAGAAAATTTCTTGCTTAAGTGGTATTTTTTTTGGACAACCGACTCATTAGAGAATAACTAATTACTATTGGAGTAACATCTGTACTACAGCTGCCTAATGTTTCATTCACTAGATGAGTGGTGGTCTGAGGAACACTGGTGGTCCTTGTGAAGTCCAAAAGGTTGGCAACCACTGCACTAGATCATTGATTTTTTTAACCTGGATCTAAGCAATTAGCTTCAAGAAACTTGGGAATCCCATAACTTATATACAGATTTTATGTCTATGTATATTTTATAAGAAGTGTTCATGGTTTTAATCAGATTTTCAGGGGTATCCATTTATTCCCACATTTAAAAGTAGTGTCCACAAGAAACCACATACCACATTATTCCGTTTATATGAAATATGCAGAACAGAGAACTCCACAGAAATAGAACATAAGACCGGTTGTTTCCAGGGGATGTGGAAAAGGGGGTAAAGGGGAGAAACTGCTTAATGGGTACAGGATTTTCTTTTGAAGAGATGAAAATGGTTGGAAGTAGATAGAGGTGGTGGTGGCACAATGCAAATGTATGGATAACCACTGAATTGTTCAATTTAAGTGGTTTTTATGTTATCTCAACTTTGTGTCAATAAAATAAAGGGGCAAGGGGTCCATTACCCTTTCATTTAAAAAGTGTTTTTTAAGGATTCATGAATTTTCTCACCATCAAATCTCTCTTAATAACAAATATCCTAAGCTCACTTGGCTCTAGGATCATCCTAATAATCTCCACCTCCACCTCCCAAATTTTCCCTTAAGAAGTGAGCTTTTCATTCTAACTGTATAATTTAAGCATCTCAACATTTAAAAATGTAAAGCTCTTTAAGAAACAAAATTAGTGATCAAAATTATTGGGAAACAGGAGTTATCAACACATACCAAAAGAATCCGAGAAATGAGAAGAAAATATTTGAAAAATGTATTATGATCAAACAAGCCCTGGTATTCATTATATAAATAACAGCTAGACTATAATGGTACAAATACTAAAGGAAAACAACTATGTGAACTTGGAATAAAAAATTCCATAAAATAACTTGTTCAATGTAAGTTGGAAACAGAAATGGGGAGGGCAGAGGGAACAATGATACTAAGAACATGTGGTCAGATATGCATATAAAAACTATTCTAACATAAAAAATACAGAAATAGCAGAAATATGAAGCAAATCCAGGGTTTGTTGTTTTAATCATGTTCCAGCACTCAAGAGGCATTCGTAACTGAGATATCTGGGGCACTACTTAGGGATCACTTTCCCAAGCTTTTATTATTTTCAGGTTTATTTAGAAAACATAGGATATATTTTATCTACATAAATTTAAAACCTGTGACTTGGTTATTTACCTTTCAGTGACAGAAAGTTATGAGAAAAATAAAAGAAAAATTATAAAATTATAATCCCTAATGCAGTAACAGAATTATATTAAGAAATTATTACTATTTTTATTATTTTAATGCCGGTTTTCTGACCATGTTTTAATCTTTTCTTCAAGAGTTGTCCTTTAAACATAGAAGAGACACTTACCAACGAGGGAAAATATACTAACTTGTTCATTTGCATGAGCTCTGTGCAGTTCATGGACGTCAAAGTCCTCCAGGTTGAGCTGTAACTTCTCCTTACAGAGTTCACAGGTAGTCACAGCCTCTAAGGAAGAACCTGGTGAAATAGTACATTACAAGTGAACCTTAGCTTTGCTATGGCTCCACAAAACATTTTCCTTATAAGTTTTAAGCTTAGGATATAGAAAATTGAAAGGGAGGGAGGGAAGAAGGTAGATTGGATTACTGCTGTAAATTAGTCATATCTCCTAAAATAGCAATCAGCAATACCTAGAATGTGTGTCAGGTCCTACTCTGGTATTTAAGCCTCCACCCATTATTTATATACCTGTTGTTTTTTTTCTGCTAGATACTCATACATTACTGATCCCGGGAAGCTGATAATGGAATGCCATCTGCACTTCCTCCTTCACGCTTAAGTACATCGGCAAGATGGCATTAAAACAATCCTATATAATAAAGATGTAATATGCAAATGGTTTTTACACCTTGATGCGTAACGACCGGCCATGTAATGACTGGATCACGGATCAGCAGGAGGGTGGGGCAGGAGGCAGAGAGCTACAGGAGGGGACAGGGCAGCAAGCTATGAGATGGGGTAGGGAGGAGGGGGGAGCTACAGGAGGACGGCAGTGAGCTACTAGTGCAGGGATTCGTGCTCAGGGCTACTAGTGTTTAATAACATAGTATCTCGAACAACTAGTTGCATATACCCAGACCAGTATCTTTGACGTGACAATATATACCTAAGACCTTTCATGGTTTAAGGAATGTGCCCTCCTTAGGTGAGGGAGGGGGGAAAGAAAGCCATTTTGTCCAGATCAAAACAGCTCCTTTCTATCATAAAAGGAATGGAGTCCTGATACATGCCACAACATAGATGAATCTTGAAAACATTATGCTAAGCAAAATAAGGTAGGTACAAAAAGGATAAATACCTCATTATCCCATTTATATGAAATGTGTAGAATAGGCAAATTCAGAGAGAAAGTAAATCAGAAGTTATCAGAGATTGTGGTGGGGAGGAGGAGGGCATTATTGCTTAATGGAAAGTTTGTTTGCAGTGATAAAAAAGTTTTGCAAACAGATAATGGTGATGACCACACAAAATTCTGGATGCACACAATGTCACTGAATTGTACTCTTAACGTTTAAAAGGGAAAATTTTACTCTCTCTCTCTATATATATATATATTTATTTATTATTTATTTTTTTTTAACCACAATTTTTTTTTTAAAAAAAGCTCCTTTTGTCTCATATGCATTCAACATTTGATTACTCTTAAGCTTCTGGTTCCAATTTAGTAGGTAGCAGTCTTGTCTAGTTAAACATAAAGCCACTTTCCCCACTGTATTTACTTTTAGATAGGGCTTTAAGTTGAAAAAAAAGTTCTGAAAATTAAAGGAAGACACATGAGTAACAGGGTATATTTAAATTCTATTCAACTAGCATGTTGAGTGCTTGTTATGTGCAATATTACAGGTTTTGGAGATTCAGAAAAAGAATAACTAGTACCCCTGTCTACAAAGAGCTCATAAAACTTAGAATTAGTGCTATTTAATAACAATTCTTTAAGTAATAAAATTTGGCATGAAGTCCAAGAAAGCAGTAGTAACTTACATGCATTCTCTAGAAAATAGCTAAAAGGAAACTGAATGCTATTCTGATGTAGTAATAAGTTGTTTATATTGTCTCAAAAATATGCTTCAATCAAATTACATAAGATAGTCACTCTAACTGTACCACTGAACTAAAATCAGGTTAAGTCCATAATGTGACCTGATAGAGAATATAAAGAACCTGAAAAACATTTAAAAGGTTTTCTTGTATGAGGAATTTCTTAAAACTACTCTCTGATTCAGAAGCAGGAAAACTATGATGATTATCAAATATGGATCTTGGAGATCACTCAATACAAATTACTTCACCTCTTAAGGCTTCATTTTTCTCTTCTATGGAATAAATAACTTACAGAAGGTGTTCAAAAGGCCATACCCAGCTAGGAGGAACCCATTTATCCCTACATTCTTTAACCCATTCTTTCACCATTATTTCCTACCACATTCCAGTAGGCCCTGACATTTGCCTAAATTTGCACTAAACTTCATTTATTCATCTTTGTAGCAACTGCTTAATGCATGTTTATATCACTCTCTACCAGAATGAATCTCCTACCCGATGGGGTCTTTATAATAAATATAAGAAAGTCTTGTGAAAATTTATCAGAAAGGCTCAGTCCTTGAGATACTTATATTTATTTGACCATTTCTTAAAAGTACTTATCTTGCCCTAACCGGTTTGGCTCAGTGGATAGAGCGTCAGCCTGCAGACTGAAGGGTCCCAGGTTCGATTCCGGTCAAGGGCATGCACCTTGGCTGCGGGCACATCCCCAGTAGGGGGTGTGCAGGAGGCAGCTGATCGATGTTTCTCGCTCATTGATGTTTCTAACTCTCTATCCCTCTCCCGTCCTCTCTGTAAAAAATCAATAAAATATATTATAAAAAAAAGTACTTATCTTAAAAAGTACTAATAACCTTATATATCCCATTTGAGTATTTACCATGTGCCCAGTACTGTGAGGAACTATTTATAAACATCATTTCATGTGACCTTCACAATAATCATACGAGGGAAGTATTACTCAGTTATAGTTATGATGGAACTGAAGACACACCTCAAATCTGCTTATAATAACTTTCAGGAGTGGATCTAAGGAATCCGTATTTTATAAAACTTTAATGGGTAACTTTGATCGGTAACCAGGGTTGAGAACAAATATTAAGAAAACTTACTCAAGATCCTATAGTTAAGTGTTGGAGCTATCATTCCAATCTAGGTTCATCTAACTTCAAAAAGCCAATGTTCTTAAACAATACACTGTATTATGTGTTTTCCTACATATACAACACTAACAATCTCATTGCAAATGTATTAGAAAGCGAGTCAAATTGTTTTTCATTTTGGGACTAGTTCTAGGCCTTTACTAAGTGCCAAAAACCATGCTGAGCACTCATTTAATCTTAGCAACACTCCAGCACAGTGACTAATTAATAAAGCCTATGAGGCTGTCGTTAACACCATACAGCCAAGAGGAGGCTATAGCTGAAATGGTCCATCCTTTGGAATCAGGCAAGCTTAAAAGAAAAAAATAAGACCCCCCCCCACACAAAGAAGACCTTTACCACCTGGCTTCAGGAAAAAAGTTTTCAAGTAGTCTCAATCTCCAGCTTCAACAGGTTACCTGAATCCTCCAGCAGATTATTAAAATTAAAGCTATCATACCTCAAAACCTATTTGCCTATGTCTCCAAGGTATCACTATCAGACATTCAACTGCACACAATCACATACATTTATTAATCTGGCCTAATGTCCCATCTTTCTCACCCTAGCAGTCATCACTTCACTATGTTCTCTGGTACTCATGGTAAATTCTGCTAATAACTAATCTTTTTGAATAATCTATTCAACTCCATGCCTGAACCACAGTGCCCCCTGCCTCTTCTGCAGCTTTATTCTACCTAACAAGCCCCTTGTACCGCAACACCAGGAAAGTGGGAAAGAGACCCCCAATTTCTGTTCTGAACCTCCAAGTCCCTCCTCCTTCATTAATGACTTGAATACCTGCACGCGCATTCGCTCATTCTCATTTTCTCTCTCTCCCCTTGCCTTTACCAACTTATTCCTGGCTATTTCAACATCCACATAGACCATTTACTTCTGACTCTGACTTCCTCAACATCCCTGCTTCCAATATTACCTTTCCCTACCACAACTACCTACTGTATGGTCATAACCTTGGCCCTGTCATCAGTTTACTGCACTAACCCTATATCTCTATTTTAAGCATCCTTTCCTCCTGCGTATCTACAATTTCTCATTCTAACTCACCTAATCTGGTAATTCTCTTCAATGGCAATGAGACTCAAAGATTGATCCTACCATTTTCTCACTATCCATTTTCTGATGTACTTAACCCCTCCTGATTTTAATTACCATAAACACAATTATGGCCTTACAAATACCCTTGCCTTCATCATATTTGCCGGTAAAGATCCCAACCCTGCCCTGGCTGCTGTGGCTCAGTTGGTTACAATTGTCCCATGCACCAAAAGGTGGCCAGTTCAATTCTTGGCAGGGCACATTCCCAGGAGGCAGCTGATTAATATTTCTCACCCTCACCCTTCCTCTCTCTCTCAAAACATATTAAAAAAAAAAGAAGAAGAAAGAAAAAAGATCCCAACCCCACTGAACTCAAATCTATGGCTGTAGCCAAGCAACTAAAAACTGCTTCTGAATATAACATGTTCATGAGTTGGTAGAATCAACATCATTAAAATGTCCATACTACCCAAAGCAATCTATATATTCAATGCAATCCCTATTAAAATACCAATGGCAAATTTCATAGATCTAGAACAAACACTTCAAAAATTCATATAGAACCAAAAAAAGACTATCTAAATAGCCACAGCAAACCTTGAGAAAGAATAAAGTTGCAGGGATCACAATACCAGATATCAAGTTATATCACAGGCCACTGTACTTAAAACAACCTGGTACTGGCACAAGAACAGGCATATAGATCACTGGAACAGAATAAAGACCCCAGAACTCAACCTAAACCAGTATGCTCAATTAATATTTGACAAGGAGGCAAGAGCATATAATGGAGTAGACAGACACTTCAATAAGTGGTGTTGGGAAAATTGAACAGATACATGCAAAATAATGAAATTAGACCATCAATTTATACTAGAATAAACTAAAAATGGATAAAAGGCTTAAATCTAAGTCGTGAAACCATAAAAATCTTAGAAGAAACCATAGGCAGCAAAATCTCAGCCATCTCTCGTAGCAATACGTTTGTCGATACACCTCCTAGGGCAGTGGTCGGCAAACCGTGGCTCACAGGCCACATGCGGCTCTTTGGCCCCTTGAGTATGGCTCTTCCACAAAATACCACGGGAGGGCGCACACGTACAGTGTGATTGAAACTTCATGGACCATGCGCAGAAGTCGGTTTTTGACCTGGGCGAGTCTATTTTGAAGAAGTGGCGTTAGAAGAAGTGGGGGTATGTTCACTGAGATCGACACCTCAGATTGAGGACGTTTTTAGCAAAGGCCAGCCTAGGAGTACCCTAATTAAGTTAATAACAATGTACCTACCTATATAGTTTAAGTTTAAAAAATTTGGCTCTCAAAAGAAATTTCAATCGTTGTACTGTTGATATTTGGCTCTGTTGACTAATGAGTTTGCCAGCCGCTGTCCTAGGGTAAGGGAAACTAAGGAGAAAATAAACAAATGGGCCCAGCCATTGTGGCTCAGTGGTTGAGCATTGACCTATGAACCAGGAGGACATGGTTTGATTCCTGGTCAGGGCATAAGCCTGGGTTGTGGGTTTGATCCCCAGTGTGGGGTGTGCAGGGGGTAGCCAATCATTGATTCCCTTTCATCATTGATGTTTCTATCTCTTTTTCTCTCCTTTCCTCTCTGAAATCAATTTTTAAAATATATTTTAAAAAACAAAAAATAAACAAATGGGACTACATCAAAATATAAAACTCCTTTCTGCACAGCAAAAGAAACCATCAAAAAAATGAAAAAGGAACCCATTTCATTGGAAAACATTTGCCAATGATACATCTGATAAGGGGTTAACTTCCAAAATATAAAGAATTCATAAAACTTTACAAAAGACAAACAATCCAATTAAAAAATGGGTAAAGGAAGTAGATACTTCTCCAAAGTGGACACACAGATGGCCAAGAGACATATGAAAAACATCACTAATTATCAAAGTCACTAATCATGAGACGCAAATTAAAATGCTAATAAGGTATCATGTCACACCTGTTAGAATGCTATCATCAACAATTAACAAATGACAAGTCCTGGCAAGGATGTGGAGAGAAGGGAACCCTCGTGCACTGCTGGAGGGAATGCAGACTGGGACAGCCACTATGGAAAACAGTATGGAATTGCCTCAAAATATTAAAAATGGAACTGCCATTTGACCCAGTGATCCCACTGCTAAGAAACCAGAAACACCAATCAGAAAGAATGTATGCACCCCTATGTTCATAGGAGCATTAATTTACAATAGCTAAGATCTAGAAACAGCCCAAGTGGCCATCTGTAGATGAGTGGATAAAAAAGCTGTGGTACATTTACACCATGGAAAACTATGCAGTTGTAAAAAAAGAAGGCTCTCTTACACCCTTTGAGACAACCTGGAGGAACCTGGAGAGTATTATGCTCAGTGAAATAAGCCAGTCAGAGAAAGATCAGTATCACATGATCTCACTCATTTGTGGACTCTAATGAACAAAATAGATACAGAGACATAGAAGCATGGGAACAGACTGACAAATCTCAGAGGAAAGGCAGGGCTTAGGGGCAGAGGGGAAAGATTAACTGGGGAACTTATATGTGCATAGCCCATGGACGCAGACAATAGTGTGGTGAAGGCCTGGAGGGGCTGGTGCAGGCTGCAGTGTGTCAATGCGGGAGGGGGGGGGGGGCAGACGGACATCTGTAATACTTTCAATAATAAAGATAAATAAAAAATAAAGTAAAAAAAATCAATGGGAAAAAATAATAAAATTACATGTATCTATCTCACTTGGGAATCATATTCATGGCCACTGATTTTTATGAAACTGATACTTCCCTAAAAACACCTTAGAATGGTATTTCCCCCACACATCAAAATCTCTAAAACTGTCCCCTAACCATCTGAAGACCTTTATCTCCCTTAACTAAGAAAATAGAAGCAATTATATAGCAATCCAAGCATCTTCTCACCTAAACAACTGATCAACATCCATATCTAGACTAGCCTTCTTGTAATTTTTTTAAGTACCTTTATTCCTATTAAAGGCTAACTACTTGACTTGTGCCCTGGATCCCATCTTTCTCTCTCTCTCCTCAATACAATCTAATCATGCTTATGACCCCAGCACTCCAGAGACAAGCTACAAAGGACATTCATGCCACCAAATCCAACTGTCATTTCTTTGTTTGTATCTCTTGGCAGTATATTTGACAGGCTTGATTACACTCTCCTTAAAACACTTCCTTTTCTTGGCTTGCACAACACTCTCTTTTTTAAGTTTTTTTTTCTTACTAGACTGAGAGCACTCCTCAAATCTCCTTCTCTGCTCCCACTAAACGTTTGGGTGTCCCAAGGTTCTGTCCTGGGCCAATTTCTTTGATATATGCTCTTATTCTAAATGACCTAATTTAATCCCAATACTAAAAATATTACGTTGTGCTTATGATTCTCAAAATTATAATTTCCAGTGCTAATACCCTGTGAAATATCCAGCTTGTTTAGCAAGCTGCCCAGTTGACATTTCCATCTGGTTAATATATATTTTCAAAACAGAACTCTTGATTTCCTTTCCCAAATTTATTCAATTCAGTCTTCTTTATTTTAGTAAATGAACCTACCATTTACTTAGCAGCTCATGACAAAAATATGGGCTTCCTAATTGTTTTTTCCTTCACTCCACTACATCCAATCCACCGGCAAGTCTTACAGACTCTGCCTCCAAAATACACACACACACACCTATTTGTACCACCTCCATCACCACCTCTCTCTTATAATAAGACAGATTTCTGGTTAGTTGCCACAATAGATTAATGGCTGGCTTCCCTGCTGCTACTCTTGTCCCCCTAAAATCCAGCCTCCACAACGCAGCCAAAATAAAAGATCATTTCACTCTCCTGCCCTTCAGTGGCTTTCCCTCATAATTAAGATAAAAATCTAACTTCAGACATTAGCTTCTGAAGTCTTAAATGAGCTAGCCTCTGCTAATCTCTCTTATTTCAACTGTATCACCCCTTTCCTTGCCCACTAATTATACTCCAAGCAAGCTTCATTCAGTTCTAAGTCACTGCCACTTTAAAATCTTTGCACTAATTGTTCCCTCTGCTGGAATGCTCTTGCCCTCATTCTGGATTAGCTGGCTCTTCTTTGTTCATCACCTCAACAAGTCATTCCTTTAACACGCAATATTACCCCATAAAGCAAGTACCTCCTCTGCCTTGTTTATCACTTTATACCTCACATATAGAACTGTGCCTAGTTTCACAACAGGCACTTAAGAAACAAATGAGTCTCTACAGTAACATTATTTCTGCACAACATTAGACAACAGCATTAGAAACAAATCTTTTCAAAAGGATCTTACATGATATAATGGTTACCTAGCAATAACAAATTATAGTTGTATTATAACTCTGAAGTAAATTGTCTACTGCGTAAATGGAATATTAAAAATAGTAGTATAAATTGAAGTTATGATACAAGACTAATGCGCTTTAATGTTTTTGCTTCAAAAAATGATCAAGACACTTTGGTAAGAATATAAATTTGACAATAAATTGTAATGATTTGTTAATTAATATGCATTCATGCATACATCTCTTGGAAAAATTGTGAAAACAAAATACACAAAAAGGTTAAATCTTACCAGAGTTAATTTTCGCCTGTAACCACTTTTTCATACACTCTTGATGGACATACTGCAAACTTCCTGTGCACTTGCATGGCTCTATTAGCAAGTTAGATGATGATGCAGCTGCCATCTGACAAATTCTACATAAGTCACCTTCTTCTTCTTCAGAGTCCTCTAAAAGGAGGCTGGAAAATAAGGCAGATTTCCTAAACACAGCTATCAAAGCTAATCCTGATTGGTCATTTCCAGTCATATATAATCCCATACAATATCTTTCTTTTATTTCTACTCTTTCTCTGATTAGGAAAAAACAACAGTAACAATAAACAGCAACCACCATGAAAAACCTTAACTATGGAAATTAAAATAAATATTTTAAAGGTAAATAAAATAAACTATCCTATTACTTATCTTCAAATGATTTAAGTAATTTTGTCTTTGGTACTACAGTTTAAGTTACATATTTTTCAGTCACTTTACAGTACCCCTGAGAGATTTTAATTTCTGTAGTATCATAGACTTCAATCCTACCCCCCCCCCCCAATCTCTCCAAAACCTTTTAAAACAACCTGAATGCCTTGAAGAAATACAGACTAGTGACTTCTCATTTACATATTGTCAGAAAAACATATGTTCAAACTGATAAGCTTTTTGTATTACATTACAGAAAAAACAAAATAGATTTAAAAATTCTCCATTTATCCCATCCCCAGCAATATTATGTTAGTAAATCCTCTTTGGTAGGCTTTTAAATGTGGAGCCGTTTCCATTAACCTATGTACTCTACTTAATAGGCTGACATGCAGAATAACTTAAATGTAGAATAATAGCTGTATAATAAATTAATTTTTTGTTAAAATCCCTATTGGCTTAGCCCACTGCTAGCATGAAAGAGGTATTCAGTAAATTGATTATACTGAATGCTATTATTGAAATAAAATCTGGATTATATTGGTTCACAATAAATTTAGCAATACTAGTAGATGTGTGGAAAGAGGAATAGGTATACAGCTGCTAGGTAACTTTCATGCCCTGGTTTAACCAGAGGTATGACTTCAAGCATAAATTTTTGTTTTACCTTTAGATTTAAATTTCTACAGCTCATTGTTTTAATTATTCTTTACTTGGGAGATTCAATTTTTTTGCACTCTTATTATAGTAGCTTCCCCACCCCCCAATATTCAAGGGGTACATATCAAGATCTCCAATTCCAAACCCTATATATATTATGTTTTTCCTACACACACATATCTAGAACATAGTTTAATTTATAAATTAGGCACAATAAAAGATTAACAACTAATGAAACAGAGTGATAACAATAATATACTGTAATAAAAGTAATGTGAATGTGGTCTCTCTCTCAAAGTATCTTATTGTACTGTTTGTACAGGGTGGACAAGCTGGACAAAGGAATGAACCACATCATAAACAGGACAGAGCCAGGTGGAATGAGATTTCATCATGATACTCAGAAAAGCATACAATATAAAATTTATGAATTATTTACTTCTGGAATTTTCCATTTAATATTTTCGGAACACAAATAACTAAAACCACAAAAAGTGAACGCACAGGTAAGAGGGAACTACTATAATTTAAATGTAGTGCCTTAAAATCCTCATGAGCAAAACGTATAATAAAGGGTTACACACACACAAATTCTATGGCAAAATAACCAACAAATTTTGTAAAACCAACCAGAGAGGATGGTGCCAGCTTGTTTCTCTGGAAAACATTAAATTAACCTGCTGCTTCAATTCACCATAGCTAAGATTTGGAAACAGCCTAAGTGCCCATCAGCAGATGAGTGGATTAGAAAACTGTGGTACATATACACAATGGAATACTATGCTGCGGTAAAAAAAAAAAAAAGGAACTCTTGCCTTTTGCAACAGCATGGATGGAACTGGAGAGCATTATGCTAAGTGAAATAAGCCAGTCAGAGAGGGATAAGTACCACATGATCTCACTCATTTGTGGATTATAGAGAACAACATAGACTGATGAAAAGGGACAGACCCAAAGACTGAGAAACAGCGATCAGGCTGTCAATCCCCAGAAGGAAAGTAGGGGAGGGCGGGGGTGGGGGGAAGAGATCAACCGAAGGACTTGTATACATGTATATAAGCCAAACCATGGACATGGACAACAGGCGGATGGGAGCATGAGTTTGTGTGTGGGGGGGAGGTTAGGGGTTAATGGGGGGATGAGGACACATTTGTAATACCTTAACTAATAATAAAAAAAAGAAAGAAAGAAAAAAAAAAATTAACCTGCTGCTTACATCACTGCACTCAAATTAACCTTACTTGGGCACATGAAATATTTATAACTATTAGTTATAATAGCTGTAATAGTGATAACTACATTCCTCAGTAGACAGCTTACAATCAGAGGGAGCTGCTACAATAATGTTAAACTAATACTATCAGGGCAGAGAGTAAATCTTTCTCCAAGAAAGGAAAAATCAGAAATTTTAAAAGCAGGAAGAGTCACATAGTATAATTTGTCCTTTATAAGGAAAAATGGAATATAGTAGCCTAACGCCCAACATCTCAGAAAGCGTGTGAAGTTCCCTTTATCCCCAGAATTAGAGTTGAATGTATTTCTTCTTAAAAGTACAAAAAAATTTATTTAAAATGATAGTAAAAGCTATGTTCCCCCCAAATTAAATTACATTAGGCCTTTATGAACAAAAAACAACAAAACACTCTATAACCTTAGCTTTACAGTCTTTTCTTCCTATATTTTATATGTACTACCCTATCCCATTTCATTAAAATTACTTTACTAGATGGAAAAATATGATAAAATTAATAATCCAATTGGTTCTATAATCTCTGATCTTTCACCTTTCCACTTTTACCAGACATTTTAAAGCAAACTTCAACTGTACAAAAGATTAGTATACAGATTCTTTAAAAGTCTAAAATTTAAACTGGTCTATCAAATAAAGAATATACAGTATATACTTGGAACTTCAAAAACAAAATTAAAAATATGTGTAAATACTTTTATGTTTAAAAGGTGAGAATTACAAACAAATAGTAAATAAATCATCTTAATAATCCATAACCACTTGGGTCTCCTTACGAATCCAATTTTGCACTATTCTACCAAGGACTAGTGTAAGAGATTAACATTTTTATCTTTGTGTGCTTCTGTATCCAAACCTGTTTAAAAATAATCTTTAGATTATTTCTTCATGTAGTAGACACCTTAGTGCCTACTTCCATTATTAATTCTCACCCATTCTACCTTTAAGAGGTAACATCAATGCTAACATCTTATTATAAATTTCAAGGGAACAAATTCTATTTTATTTTTATTGATTTTAGAGAGGAAAGGAGAGGGAGATAGAAACATCAATGTTGAGAGAGAATCATTGACTGGTTGCCTCCTGCACGTCCCCAACTGGGGATCGAGCCCACAAAACCCAGACATGTGCCCTTGACCAGAATTGAACCTGGGACCTTTCAGTCCCCAGGCCGACACTCTATGCACTGAGTCAAACCAGCCAGGGCCCAAGGGAACAAATTTTAGATATTAATGTTACAAGAAGCCTAAAATTTTAGAAATACTTTTTTTCTCTAATCTGCCCTTGCTTTATGGGATTAAGACAGGTATTTAAATTTACCTCTCTTTTATTTTCTGCAGTTTTTCTGGGTCTCTTGAAGGTGCACTTTTAGTTTTATCACTTTTGCCACCAGATGAACTCCAACCTGAAGGAATAATATCTACAGTGATCATGACATTATCGGTCAAATTACTTCCAAGTGTTGGGGGGACTGCAAATCGAAACAAGGAACCAGGAAGGATCCCTGTCATTCCTGTGTTTCTTCCACTGCGAGCCGAATCTGACATGGAGCCACCTGTAGCAGCACTGCTCGATGCTGCAGGTGTTTGTGATCTGTTGGCAGCAGCCCCAATGTGATCACTCTGTGCTTCCAGGTGAACCACTTCATTTGATTCTCTTCTAAAAATATGAGATCGAGATTGTGTATCAGAAGTTGATATCCTTGAAGATTCATCTCGTCCCTCTCGCCTCCTTCTAGAGAACAAAGGTGTGCATCTATTTCTAAGTGAGGAAGATAACCAGGGTCCTGTATTTCTACCTTCAGATTCTTGGTTAAAATTTTCTGAATCTGGCTCAGTGCTATGATTTTGAGATGACAAACCCCATCTTCGCCTAAGAAATCGAAATCCCTGAGAAGCTTCAGATGCCCTATTATCAAGAACGTCAGAAGTTGATGCTGCATTACGAGACTGTGAAGAAATTCTTGGAGAAACATATGAATTTTCAGAGCTCAATGATCTTGTATTTAAGGATTCCTGACTAGACCTTCGTGAAAAAAAAGTAGATGACATGCTAGAAGCTATACGTGACAGCAATCTCCTTGTAGTACGTCTACCTTCATTGTCAGAAGATTCTTGAAATGATCTTTGAGATGAACCAATCCTATCTGAATTGCTTATGGTTGAGGTTTCACCTCTATTTGAAATATAAGAAAATCCAGGCTGTGTATTGCTTTGGAGAGACTCCAATTCTCTTGGAGAAAAATTTGATCTTACAGAATTTCTACTAGAATCCCTAGAGCACAGTACAGTCTGGCGTTCAGAAGGCATTTGTTGGTTTGTGGATGATGTATTCAGTTGTAAAGTGCTCACTGAGTTCTCTTTTGGTCTTGCTCCCTGTGAATATGAAGAAGGAACTCTGTCTTGAACATCTGTTTTTGAAAGAAAGGAAAAATAGCTAATTACATGAAATAAATTGACTACTAATAAAACTTGCATTTATTAATGACTAATTACTGCCAAAATGAAACACTGGTTTGAAACTGAATACTGCTACATTATAACTACACAGCTTAACTATTATTACAGAAAAAAACCATAAATGTGCTTCTCTTTCTATACATTTGGTGAAATCTAGCACTTTTATATAAAGTCAATATTATACTTTATACAGAATCTAAAAAGAAATGAGAGCTTACGAAAGGCAAACATCAATCTACCAACTTGATGAATGTAAAACAGCTGAATCTGCTGATCAGAAATTGATATGGTAGAGTATCTAACATTTAAACAAATAAGGAATTTTAAATGTGCCAAATAAGTCAATGTAAACAACTCTTGTAACAAATAAAAACACGAGGTGGGGGTGGGCTAGAAGGATCAATGGGGGGAAATGGGGGACAAATAATACTTTCAACAATAAAGATTTTTTTTTAATTAAAAATACCAAAACCAAAACAAACAAAAGCAAAATAAGCCTAGGAAACAGTGTTTGGGAGATTTTTCTTACTCTGCAGAAAGCATAATGGTTATTTCATATAGGTATTATCACCCTTGTAATTTTACGGCAAACTCTGCTAACAGCTAAAAGTGTTTCCACCCCCTCCTCACCCCCGTCGTCGTCGCCGCCCCCCGCCCCATCCTCAATGTAACAGCAGTGATTCTTATCCCTGGTTACTCTTCTAAAATACCTTTGCTTTTTAATACTGGCTGAGAGCTATGAGTCAGAATAAAGTCCTGACATCTAAAATTTTAAAAGTACACCACTGGTGGTTCTAAATTTCATAGGGATGAGAAAATCTATAGCATTCCTTTATAAAGAATGCTTACCCATACACCTAACTTAAAAGCTAGATTACTACTGCGCTAATACATGCAGCCTCAGGAAAAGAGAAACTGTTAGTGGATAAATCTATTCTACCCAGTACTTTTATATTCCCAAATCTAGAACCTATTGATACTATCTACTAAAGGTCATCCATTCAAAGCCAAGCAAATAAAAAGATGTTTTCATTTGTCTTAAATAAAGGAAAGATATGCCCCAATACGATCATTTAAAATACACTTAACCTTTAGAAACAAATGTATATTCTACGTAAATCAAGCTCCACTTTTGCCTGCTATATTTGTCTACTTCATCAGCACTTTTTGTCTTCAGTTACTTAATATTATTGTTTTATGGTACTTATGTTTAAAAAGCTCAAGCTTATGTGCACTGACAGTGTGGGTAAAAGAAAACAAAGGCACATTTGTGTTAAATTAAGGTAATTTTAAATTGTCTTAAAATGGTGATTTCAAACTTTAGTTAGTTTAGAATTTAACTAAAATTGGTTACTTATTACATTACATAAGGCAAATTATACTGGAATATACAAGAATTGTTTAGTATAATTCATGGCACATATGTTCTTAAAAGAGCAAGTAAAACATTTATCGGCACATAGAATCTGGATATTCATGCACTTTTAAACTGTTTACATTTTTAAAAGCCAACAAATAAGGTACTAGGAAACATTAAACTTTTTTAAAATTTCCATAAAATTCACTTCATTTATTCTTTTGTACTGTAATTTAGTGATATAAAGAGGAAAACAACATTATCAGATTAAGTTATATGTAACAATACAGTTTATACATACACGATGAAGTTGTGAAATCACTACTTCGGTGACTATAGTCCATAAAATTACTAATGGAGGAATCTGCTCTCCTTTCTAAATCTCTCCTCTCTCTCATTAAGTCACTTCCAAATGATCCAAGTACCACTGATGAAGATCTGGGAACTTGACTATGTCTCCAAGAATCTTAAAATAATCAAAGAAGTTTTAATTCAGAGAGAGCTTTTAAGGTTTCTAATGACAAAAAGAAAAAAATCTTCCGTACTACACAGGGAGGTTGTAATTTATTACAGAAATCCCCATAGTTACACAGTTGTAATCAGAAGTAAAATTTAGCAAAACAGCGTGGCTGGTATGGCTCAGTGTCAAGCTATGAACCAGGAGGTCATTGTTCCATTCCAGGTCAGGGCACATGCCTGGGCTGCAGGCTCAATCCCCAGTAGGGGTGCAGGAAGCAGCAAGTGGATCAATGATTCTATCATCACTGACGTTTCCATCTATCCCTCTCCCTTCCTCTCTGAAATCAATAAAAATATATTAAAAATTTAGCAAAACAAAATTATTCACTAAATGAACTCATCACTTACAAAATTACTTCCTATTAAAACACATTCTTCTCTAACACTAAACTCTATCCTGCTCAAGTCTTGGCTTGATCACCAGTAGGGGGGCATGCAGGAGGCAGCTGATTGATTTTTCTCTCACCTAGATGGTTCTCTCTACCCCCTCCCTTCCTTTCCTAAAAATCAATAAAAACATGTTTTAAAAAAATATATAAAGAAATTGCTTACACTAATTTATTTGGTAATACATACGCATTTTAAGAATTTTATATCCAATCCTGTCACCACAAGTTTTGTACCACCTTAAAACGATTTTAGGCATTGGATAGTGTTTCATTTGAAGAGTATAAGTGAGGAGGGAGCCTCCTAACATCTCAACAAAAGATCTTTTCAATTTGTACAACAAATATGTCTGAGTACGAAAATACCAAGCATAAAGCTTTACAAATAAACCATCTAAATGGTTAAGTGACTTGTACAATGCCAACATCTAATTAGAGGGCTAAAATCATGGCTTTCTGATTCCTACCATAAAACTAGTGGAATACCACCAACTATTTTTTAAATAAAGAATTTTCATATTTTCTAAACAATATATACCACGTTTCTCATTTATAAAAGACTAAAAAGCCCGGTGCACAAAATTCGTGCATGGTTAGTGGCCCTAGCAACTGCTGGCTGCCAGCCGGGGCCTCCCTTCGTTCCGTGCCGCCCCCTTGTGGTCAGTGCACATCACAGCAAGCGATCGAACTCCTGGTCGGTCAAACTCCCGAGGGGACACTTTGCATATTAGGCTTTTATAGCTAAAGAAGATATAGAAGATGTGCTTTGAATATAATTGTCCACTTCAGAAAAATTGGCTTTCCTACTAACAAAAAATTTACCTCCTATAACAACAGAGGAATACATGTCACTTTTACCAATTTGATCGCCATACATTTTCGGCTATTCTAGTTAATTTTAATTCCAGCACTAATTAACTAGTAAAGGAGGATGTTGGAAACTCCACTGGCTCTATTTGCCTAATATATACCAGGTCTCGGGAAAAGAGCTTTAGTCCAAAATACACATGGTGTAACCCTTAGATAAATTTAATTCTTACCTGATACTGCATTTAAACCATGTCCAACATTTCTCCCAGCTGAGGTAGATGTACAGTTTGTACAGGAAAGTTTAGGTCTTTTTGAATCATGATCCCGTAGCTGGTTTTGTGATCTTGAGCGTGCACCCTGAGTTATCTCAGATTCACTATACCATGTAGATTGAAATGGAGATGCAGCTGCTGATGCAGATGTAGACTGTTAAGTTTAAAAAAAAATTTTAAAGGAATAAAATGCTTGCATTCAATATTAAATTTAATTGACAATATTCCCAAGGACCAAATTTTTCTATCATGTATGTTTTCCATAATCTTTGTTCCCTATAACCCACTGCCCCTTTATTTTATACTGAAATTGTATATGGTTGAGTAATAAATCTGAATTAGATTAAGTCTTCTATGTAACTGTATATAAACATCTGGCTAGGAAATACTCAAGAGCAAAAACTTCATTCATTTTGTTTCTTGGTTTAATATTTCAACCTTCTGAGGAACGTGTTTCCTGTTTTTAAAGGTGGACAGAATGCCAAGAAAGACACTAATATATAAACTGATTGTGAACAGTCTTATGAAAATAAAATTTTTCAAGTAATAAAAAATTTATCCTGAATCTATGCTCATTGTTAAGAATATAGTAATACACTATAAACAGTATGTTTTTTTAAAAAAAGAAACAACAACCCAATTATCTGGAATCTCTTCGTCAGTGAAGTAGATAAAAAAGGTGCATATTTTAAAATTCTTTGTTCAAGGTTTTCTCTATTAACGTATAAACTGACGAACACAAAATAAAACAACCTAAAACACAAAAAGTAAAACAACCCAAAACACAAGTTATTCACAATGTACAAACTATTTTACTTCTTCCTAATTCATTAAATGGTTAGGCAGTATACCTAACATAATGCCTAAAAAGAGAAAATATTAGCTTATCTCCTTAAAAACACAGGTTTAAATAAGAACATATTTTAGCCCTGACCAGTTTGGCTCAGTGGATAGAGCGTCGGCCTGCGGACTGAAGGGTCCTGGGTTCGATTCCGGTCAAGGGCATGTACCTAGGTTGCAGGCACATCCCCAGTAGGGGGTGTGCAGGAGGCAGCTAATCGATGTTTCTCTCTCATCGATGTTTCTAACTCTCTATCCCTCTCCCTTCCTCTCTGTGAAAAATCAATAAAATATATTTAAAAACAAAACAAAACAAAAAAAATATATTTTAACCACAATTATAGAAATGGTCCTAAATTGACTAAAATAAAAGTGAGTTCTAGAGAAAATAAAAATGTTTTATAATAATTTTAATATGTATGTTGTAAACAGTTCATCTTATTAAAGAATCTTAAAAAAGAAAAACAATGTTCTTTTAAGTGTTATACTTCTTGACAAGGGTGAAAAATGGAATATAACATGAGCCATAAATTCAGTCTGTTAACCTAACATTCTAATGATAAATATAAACCCAAATAATGTGCACCATCAAAGAGTTCTAGAGTAAATATAAGAAACAATAAAAAAATCTATGTATATAAAAGAGTAACATGCAAATCGACCGAACGGCAGAACGACTGCTTGACCAGTCACTATGAGGTGCACTGACCACCTCTCAGTCCCTTCTCCCAGCCATCAGGCTCCGATCGCCCCATGATGAACGGGGAACCGGGGGTGGGTGGCAGTGGGGGGTGGGGCCGGCTGCAGCAGCCGGGGAAGATGGCCCTGAAGATGGCCAGGCCTAGGGACTGTACCTGCACATGAATTTTGTGCACCAGACCTCTACTTACAATATAAATACAGATAGTCCTCGGGTTACGTTAGACTCGATGACATCATTTCATGGTTACGTCAACATCTCCCACTGATTTATATAAAAAAAAGTTCCGTCATTTCGACATATGCATATATGTGCTTTATGTTTTTTATTATTTATTTACCACAAGTAAAGGTCAGGAATTGTTATCTTTTAAATCTTTTTTTACTGTTTCACTTCATTATTGCTGTGTATGTGCTCCATGTGAGTGACGTAGGTGCTTATGTAGGTGGGTTCCGACTTACGGTGAAAATCATGTTACATCTCACCGTAGAAATAGATCTCCAACGTAACCCGAGGACCTACTGCAAGGCTATAATAGGAGGTTATGTTGAAAGTTTCACAGAAAAGAAAATGCCTAACTATGCCTGGGGAGAGTAGGAGAGAATTCATAGAATGAAACAGAGTTCACTTGTAGGCAAATGAGGAGTATTATAAACAACACAAAAAGATTCATAAACCCCTCTACTATGGGCATTCTTCTAAAATAGTGGTCGCCAACCGGTGGTCCGTGAGGTCCAAAAGGTTGGCTATTAGTGTTCTAAAGCCTTACTACATTACTTGATCTTCTATTATGCTTAAATTATGAGAAGCATACTACATACATTCAGGGAATTCTACAGAATAAACTTCACATATATGGAAAAGCAGAAGATGTAAAGCTGAAAAAGTATGAACAGACTAGATCAGGATTTTATCCATCCCTTGCCCAAGAATATTTTGCTAGTTGAATGTGGCACTCTTCAGCTTAGCACAAACTTGGTATCACAAGCCCTCTGCCCCCAATCAATGAACTGTGCTGGCACAAGAGAGAAATTCATTAGGTATTTCAAAACCAAATCATTTTATGTGCCATTATCAGGGTATTGGGAAAATTATCCTGCATGCCAGTGATTTAACACCTTTAGATTTCAGAGAACAAAACAAAAAATGTTATAATTTAAAATTTAGAGCCACTTTTGACAAGGAGATCTAAAATAGCAAATACCATCTAATCTTACCCCAATTAAAAAAAAAACTGATCTTAGAGGGGAAAAAAGGGGGAGAGGGAGAGGAGAGAGAAGACAGAGAGAGTGAAACATGGATAGGTTGCCTCCCCCACACGCCCTGATCAGGGATCATCAAACCTGGGTATGTACCCTAAATAGGAATCGAACTTGCCACCTTTTGGTGTATGGGATGACGCTATAACCAACTGAACCACACCGGCCAGATCTTATCTACAAATTTTTAAAAAGGGCATTTTATGTGCTCCGCAAACATGAGGGTTATAATAGAATTAAACAGACTTTTAATGTGAATACATTTTTTATGCACAAAATCCATAACTTGTCCTTATTTTTCTAATTATGCATGGACTACACAAATTGTTACTGAATAAGTTCTTCTGCAAATAAATATGATTTTGGAAACTACCCAAGGAGGAAATACTATCAGATCAACTTCTTAGAAATATCCTCAGAACATTGTAGAAGATGAAAAGGGTAGAATGGACAGAAGGTAGCAGTTTCACTATGCTAGGTATATGCACTTATAGTATGAATATTACATGACAACAGTCCATTATATTATTCACTGTCCCCTTTCAGACCAGAGTGCTACAGGATTGCTTCCTTTGAGAAATGGGTTATTTCTTTTCCTTATGAACAAAACACCTTATAAAGCTAGTTATTCTTCCGTGTGATCTTCCTGGCGCCCAGAACAAGAAAGAGTCCAAGTTTAACTTTAAAACACTGCAGAGCTTATGAATGCCTCTCGATGTTATAACCTTGACCCACTCTCATGGGTCATACATGAATACACATGTATATACATATTTATTTCCATGGGAAGTACTTATAGTAGATAAGCATATACACACACAAAAATTAATTTTTAATCCTTTAATTCTCTAGAAACATAACTATTTAAGTATATGCAATGGTATTAAGTTCTATAATAGTTGATCTACAAATTAGAAAAGATGTCACTAACTGAAAAAAGCACCTAGAACCTCATAAACCTCATAAAAAACCTACTTTATTATTTCATATTAAAAGTAATCACTATCAACAAAGCAAAAAAACAAAAACAGGACAAGCTGCTAAATTAAATTATAGAAAACATAGAAAAATAACAATTACATATTCATAGAATACTCCCAAATTTTTTATTATCAACAGTCTAATAGGAAATAAAATTTCTATTTAAAATATCTAAAATTCTGCTTACTGTTACCAAAGAGATGAGATGATCATAGTTTTCAACCATTCAAATTGTAACCAAAATTTAAAGATGGAGTAACAGAAATATCAGCAAGATTAACAATATAGGCAACATGGCTTTCAAATGGCCGAGAATCCAAATATATTTAGCAAATCAATTGTTCGAAACTTAGAACCTCCATTTCCCCAAAGAAGAAACAAAGCCATCCAGAAGTCTAATAGATTCTTAAGCTCAGGAACATATTTACTAATCATGTGATTTTCTAAGAAAAATCAGTAATCTTTCCAGATTTTAGATCCTTATTTTATGAAATGACAGGTGTCCTATATAAGTAAAACTAAAAGTCAAAAATATTCATGAAATGTCAAGCACTATATAAAAATAAGGTGTTTCCATATTATTTAATCCATAGCGTAACTGAAATAAAAAAATGTAGAAGCTAACATTTATGTACTGTTTACCATGTGGCAGCTCTATTCTCATTCAATGTATTAATTCATTTAACTTTAACAACCCAATTGACTAAATAATATGGAAAATCAGATGTGAAGTAACTTGCTTGCCCAAGTTCACACAGCTATGAGTGAAACAATACTCCAATCCAGGCCATATAGTCTGATTTCAGAGTCTTGTGTTTCTCACTAAGAGTCTGTACGAAAAATTATACAAGCATCAGAAGAGAAATTTCTATAAATACCGGGGGGAGGGGGGGGGCGAGACAATTCTGTGCTCTTAGTAAGTAAAACATCATTTAACCTACAACATTTCTATAGAATACAAAGGATGTGATTCTGGGCCGCTGGCAAGTATATGCTTGTCTACCAACAAAATTAAGAAACAAAACAAGCCCAACCGGTTTGGCTCAGTGGATAGAGCATCGGCCTGCGGGCTCAGGGGTCCCGGGTTCGATTCCGGTCAAGGGCATGTACCTTGGTTGCGGGCACATCCCCGGTGGGGGGTGTGCAGGAGGCAGCTGATCAATCTCTCTCATCGATGTTTCTAACTCTCTGTCCCTCTCCCTTCTTCTCTGTAAAAAATCAATAAAATATATTTTAAAAAAAAAGAAAGAAACAAAACAAAAACCCACAATATCAATTAATATTGAAAATGAGACTAAGTAAATAGTTCATATAAAGTTTATGAGTTTGTATGTAGATATGGACATTTTAGAAAAATTACTTTTCACTTGTCTTTCTCTAAATATTTTATAAAATGTTTTTTACTATGTAGTGAATGTCATGATACATAGATATAAAATACCTGACAGAAATTTTCACTAAAGAATTCTCTTAAGATTCAGTTACCAAAACATCAGACTCTAGCAAATCAAGTGTGATTTAATTAGCTGTTCAGACAATAATGCAATAAACTTAAATGTAAAAACCAAGATAAATTGCACTAAACTTACAAGTCATGCCATCTAAGATTTATAGCTTTATACAACTACTGTTATAACCCTAATAAACCTTTCCAAAAACTGAAGGAAAATTAGTTACATTAAGAGTAGCAGTCCTAACCGGTTTGGCTCAGTAGATAGACCACTGGCCTGCAGACTGAAGGGTCCCGGGTTCGATTCCAGTCAAGAGCATGTACCTTGGTTGCGGGCACATCCCCGGTAGGGGGTGTGCAGGAGGCAGCTGATCGATGTTTCTCTCTCATCGATGTTTCTAACTCTCTATCCCTCTCCCTTCCTCTCTGTAAAAAATCAATATAATTCCCTGGCCGGTTTGGCTCAGTGGATAGAGCGTTGGCCTTTGGACTACGGGGTCCCAGGTTCGATTCCGGACAAGGGCATGTACCTTGGCTGCAGGCGCATCTCCAGTAGGGGGTGTGCGGGAGGCAGCTGATTGATGTTTCTCGCTCATCGATGTTTCTAACTCTCTATCCCTCTCCCTTCCTCTCTGTAAAAAATAAAATATATTTTTTTAAAAAATCAGCCGAAACCGGTTTGGCTCAGTGGATGGAGCGTCGGCCTGCGGACTGAGGGGTCCCGGGTTCGATTCCGGTCGGGGGCATGTGCCTGGGTTGCGGGCACATCCCCAGTGGGAGATGTGCAGGAGGCAGCTGATTGATGTTTCTCTCTCATCGATGTTTCTGACTCTCTCTCCCTCTCCCTTCCTCTCTGTGAAAAATCAATAAAATATATTTAAAAAAAAAATCAATAAAATGTATTTTTTTTTAAAAAGAGTAGCACATGTAGCTTTATATAGATTATGAATTAGTGCAATCATTACTAACCATAAAAGTCCCAAAATTTGTCCATATTGCAAAAAACAAAAACAAAACAAACACTTAACAATGATTATTCTACCACTGCCATGTATATTCACAGAGAAAAATCAGATATATGAATGTAACGTTAAAGAAAAAGGATGCAATTTCCAGTTTTCGGACAGTCACCTAAATAGATTAACTTAATTAAATGTATACTTAAATTGACACTTTTTTTTTTTTTTAGGTAAAAAAGTTTCCAAGTCTTTGGAAAGTATGACCATTTTTAGTAAGATCACAATTCCTCATTCATAATTCTGAAGTTCCAGAAGTTTGAAAACCATTAAGTTTTTGCTGCTTGCTATAAATGATCATTCATTTTGCTGCAGACATAAGTTTTGATGCCTCAAATTCAGCTAAGGATATTCTAAACATATTCTACTACTTACCTAAAATCCAAGACACACATGGCCCCAAGGATTCTGAAAGAGAGACTGTATATATATTCCATATTAAGAAATTACCTGATAATCAGAATCCAGTCTAAATGAAGAGTCTCTTGAGTGATAGGTATCATTTAAACTACTTCCTCTGTTTCCAGACATCATCCTAGCACTTAAAGAGCTGGGGGGTTGAACAGAAATTCTTCTTGGAATCCTTGAAGGTTTAGACTCCATTCTTAAGGTTTCCTGTGAGGTACAAATTTTGATGAATTGCCTTTGGGAAAGCATGCAGCTCAAATCAAGAATTACCCATGCAAATTAACTATACTCTAGTGTGTAGCATGATAAATTATAAGACTATCATCACCCCACCCCTCTTCTATAAGGCAGAGGTTCAAAATCTATCAAAGGTTCCCTACTGTCCATAATATGAAGCACACATAATGAAAGTGAGATGAAGAACTGAGGTTTGTTGTTTCCAAAGCCTGGGCTCTTTTCCTTATTCAATTTTTTTCTCCATATAAACTCCTACACCAATTTGCCCTTGATTATCTTGCTATTCTTACCTATTATTGGTGTTCAATACTCTTACCATGAACATTAGCTATTTGTACACCCCTTAACACAAAATGTTCTCACAGGTCTTTGTATGTGTCTGGAAAAGTCTACACATTCCCCATTCAATTCCTGGATAAGGTCTTAAAACAAGCACTTTTCTTTTTGTGCCTCCACTTTATACATACTTTTATTAAAACACTAGAGGCCTGGTGCATGAAATTCGTGCATGGGGGGAGGGGGTGTCCCCTTAGCCCAGCCTGCACCCTCTCCAATCCGGGACCCCTGGCTCCTAATTGCTCACCTGCCTGCCTGATCGCCCCTACTACTCTGCCTGCCTACCTGATCCCCATAACTGCTCTCCCCACCTGCCTGATCGCCCCTAACTGCTCTGCCTGCCTGATCCTCCTTAACTGCTCTTCCCTGCTGGCCTGATCCCCCTAACTGCTCTTCCCTGCTGTCCTGATCTCCCTAACTGCTCTTCCCTGCTGGCCTGATCTCCCTAACTGCTCTCCCCTGCTGGCCTGATCCCCCTAACTACTCTTCCCTGCTGACCTGATCCCCCTAACTGCTCCCCCCTGCCTGCCTGATCCCCCTAACTGCTCTCCCCTGCCTGCCTGATCGCCCCTAACTGCTCTCCCTGCTACCGTGGGTTTGTCCAGAAGATGTCCGGTCTAATCAGCATATTACCCTTTTATTATTATAGATAATGCTAAGACTCTTTCCTGGTTGTTCCTACAATGCTACTGGAAGACTGAGAGATTTTAATTTTACTCTTGGATCACCAAACAAAACACCAGAGTTAGGATTTCTGGATGTCAACTTTTGGAATGCTCCCAATTGCAAAGCAGCTAGCTACCCAGTTGATCATCCTACCCTACAACACAGTCACCAAGAGTTTCTAATCAGCTGTTTAGTACTTCCCTCGAATACACAAACATCAAGGATCACCAGGCATCCAAAGAAGGCCTCTAATATGAATGACCAAAGTAAACAACAAAAATTTAGAGAAAATGTGAGGAAAGGAGCTAATTACTATCCTTAAAGGGATAAGACGTTCATTTATAAAATAATAACAGGATGCTTGAGAAAGCAATCAGACTACAATGTGCTGTGCATTTTCAAAATGTGGTATTTTTAAAAATGTGATATTCAAATAATCAACATAAACAAGTTGAGTGAACCTCCCTGAAGTAGAAAATGTGCTAGTAAATTAAAAATAGGAGAACTGTCAAGGGGTGTTATGATTAGACTATAATATGGTTACAGAAGGAGAGGAGAGAAAATAAAGAAAAAGTTATCAGAGGAATCAAAAAACCTTTCTAGGATTAAAGGATATAAATCTTCACACAATGAAAGGACTGCGGTACTCAGCAAATCAGAGAGACTAACACTAAGCACAAATTAGCATCTTAAAATTTCAGAACACCAGAAATAAAAGAAAGTTATGAGAGTGAAATAGCAGGTTACATACAAAAGTAATTAGAGTGGCTTCTTCATTACAACTTTAAAAACTTTTAAGATAATGAAGTAATAACTGTAATACTGAAAAGAGTGTTTAGCCTTGAATTCCAATCTGACAACTAAATGTGAGATGGAGAGGACACATTTTGAGACATCAAGATCTTTAAAAAAATCAATCACATGCCCGGCTGGTGTGATTCAGCAGTTGAGCTTCGACCTATGAACCAGGAGACCAGGGTTCAGATTCCTGGTCAAGGCACATGCCTGGGCTGCAGGCTCACTCAAACCCCAGTAGGTGGGCGTGCAGGAGGCAGCAGATCAATGATTCTCTCTCATCACTGATGTTTCTCTATCTCTTTCTCTCTTCCTGAAATCAATAAAAAAAATTTAAAAATATTTTAAAGAAATCAATCACAAAACAAAAACCAAAGGAAGCTAAAAGAGCATGTGGTAGAAAAATAGGAGTGCAAGGAACTAAAGAACCAAACACAATACCCAGGAAAGTTTACAAAGGTATGAAGAAAGCATAGGGAACTTATTGAGACTGGAGCAGGATCATAGATAATGGAAGTAAAGTACTAAGACAAAAAATGCATCTAATAGAAACTATTCTGGCAAAAATGATACAATTGTAAAAATGCTGAGCAAATGGCAGTTTAATAAATTAATTTTCTAAGTTGGGAAAACAGCTATTGTACAAGAAAGAAGGTACTGTTTTGGGATGAACACAATATTTACAGTTATAATTATATAACTAGTCTATTGATTTGCGACAAATATGCTACGGGATGAAGATGGGTAGGGGAAATAAAAAAGACAATGGTGAGTAAGAAAAATACAGAGAATATTGAAAAATCATAAACAGTTTAAATACATCATTTGGAAATATGAAAGTAAATCCTAAAAGAGCTAAAAAGTTGAGGGTTGCTGCCTTTGGAAAATGGGATTGGGAATGAGGTAGGATGGGGCAAAAAATTAGTTTTTGTTTTAATCAGGATGACTGTATTTCCTGATTTGCCTAGAACAGTCCCAGTTTATGGCCAGAAAAGTCCTAATTTGTGCTCATTATCTCAGGACAATTATTAATAGTGCTTGTGCTGTATCTTTGGCCTGGTTTGGTTGATAAAGCATATGATAGCTTTAGCTTTTTATAAGCTATATATGCATGTCTGCACAAAATTTTTGTTTTTTGTTTTTTTTACTAAAAAGAGGTGTATTATGAATTAAGAAAGCATACATTAGTACAAAGAGTATTAATGGTTAAACACTGACAGGCTTTAAAAAGTCCATAAATGATTTAACAAGTAGCAGACTTGTTATTTTATCAAAAAATCTATGAAAATACAAACAAGGAACTGTGTTTGTGACTTGAGGATTTTAAAGAGGTAGACAAAGTGCTTTTTAAAAGATACAGGCCTACAGATAGTTTTCAATAACAATGATGCTTCTAAATCATACTTCTTGTTTACTTTGACTATATTTATATCCAATACTTACTTGCATACTTGCAGAATGAAACTAACCTAGTAGGAAATCTGCTTAAAGCAAACCTCTCGAGAGAAGACAAAGAGGCAGAGTCCTCTGAGAGATATGTTATATTATATGAAACTATTCTTGGCAACTTCTCTACATAAACTGATGGAATTTCTACAATGTAGGTGTTACCGGAGAACTTACATAATATGGTTGCATAAGTTGTAGGTCAAAAGCACAAAAAATAGCAAAAAAACTTAAAATGCATAGTCCTTGAAAAACTTCTACCTGACCACTTGTAAGGTACTATGAGGCATCTTTTTAAGTTTTTTCATTCATTTAACAGATAGGTTTTTTAGGTGCTTAGTATGTGATAGACACATTAAAATTAATACTAAACAAGGGTTTGAGTTGAGGGGACAACTTCGAACATACTGGGATAGCGATTATCAAGAAGTTATAATCTAGTAGAGAACAAACACAAATAACCACATGTCACAAAGAAAAAATATAAAAGTACTGTACTCATTTAGTTTGAGACTAAAGAAACAAAATCCAATGCAATACATGAACCTTGGCTGAATCCTGATTCATAAAACAGAAAGTATGAATGAAGACTGAATTTTAATAAAGTGTCATGATGTCTGCAACTTAGTGTTAAATACTTCAAAATAACATTACATATTTTACGAAGTAAATACTATATGTACGATTACATATAACATCCTATATAATAAAAGCCTAGCCCTGGCTGGCTTGGCTCAGTGGATAGAGCATCGGCCTGCAGACTCAAGGGTCCCAGGTTCGATTCTAATCAAGGGCATGTACCTTGGTTGTGGGCACATCCCCAGTGGGGAGTGTGCAGGAGGCAGCTGATCTGATCGCTGTTTCTAACTCTCTATCCCTCTCCCTTCCTCTCTGTAAAAAATCAATAAAATATATTTTAAAAAAATAAAAGCCTAATATGCTAAGTGTCCGGTCAACTGTCCAACTAAAGTGTAATATGCTAATGATATGCTAAGGCCGCTCAACCACTTGCTATGACATGCACTGACCACCAAGAGCAGACGCTCCGACCAGTAGGTTAGCTTGCTGGTGAGGTCTGGCCGAGTTGGGCTGGACACGCCCTGGAGCCCTCCCATGGTGCCTCCACAGCTGGCCAACCTCTCACGTTCCTCCCTGGCCCTGATCGTGCACCAGTGGGGTCCCTCAGCCTGGTCTGCGCCCTTTCACAATCCGGGACCCCTTGGGGGTGTCAGAGAGCCAGTTTCGGCCCCATCCTGCAGGCCCGACCGAGGGACCCTACTGGTGCACAAATTTATGCACTGCGTCTCTAGTATATAGATATAATAAATGTGACAAATTATCAACTACTGAATATAGGTGAGGTCATCCAAATATTAATTTTACTATTCTCCCAACTCTTCTCTACTTGAATATTTTCCAGCAAAATAAATCAAAATTAAGGGGTGGGGGGAGAGTACTCCATCTTTGCTTAGTATGTAGACAGCCACAAAAGAACATCATTCCTACTCTAACATACGGGGAAGCCAAACAATCTATTAAATCACTTTTCTTGAGTCCACCAGAACTGAGGTTGCAAGGCACGAGATGAATTGAACTACAAAGAATAAGTCCCCCTGACAAGGAGAGATGGGACAAAGGTGGCCACCATAAAAGCTGCTAAAAAAAACAGCCAAATTTTATCAAATTCTTAAATTCCTAAAGGCTAAATATTTGCTAGTGTGACAGTT